ATTCCTTTCCGACTCATTTCGGACATGCCTTGATGCATGCTTGCGTTACTTGCATCCATCTGTGACAAGGCATGCGCTAAGAGGCATGTGCTTGGCGCACACAGAAACGCACGAGTGTGGACATAGCTTTTGTTCACACTATCACTCATAGTGTCAACATCTTTGACTGAGCTAGTCTGATGTAAAGATTTCAGCAGTTTCCTCAAATTTGCTGTGTTGTGAATCGTTTGCTTGGTAGGATGGTTGAATTGACTGACTGTAATACATTTCTCTCTAATTTCGGTATAGTGTTCTTCATATGGAGTTTTTATTTCTGTAGAACACCTGAGCAACTTTAACAAGTTGATCAGTGTTTCAACATGTTTTCGTTGTAACTATAAAATGATATATATATATAGTACGGTTTACCCTTGGTAATATCTTGGATGGTGTCAGTAATAAAATACAATGGCAAATTACAAAAACTGGGATTTATTTCAGCAGAATAAAATGACTGGTTTTATTCACAAAGCAAAACAACATAAATAACTTTACTTGTAAACAATTCAACATATGAAAAAACATGACTGTAGAATTAAAATGAGAAACAAAACAGTCTTTCAGAAATAAATAAAAACCAGTTCTCCAGCAAATGTTAATTTTTAAAAGAGATTTTGAGGTTTTTCAACTAAAGCCGATTAGGCATATATCACAACATTTTTTTTAAACAATAAATTTTTTGTAAGTAAGTTGGTATAAACTGACTAATGTGTTGAGAACGCACAGAAAACATAGGCCTACTACTATGATTTCTGTGACATGGGTGAGCTAAGCTATGTTATGTTCAGTGGTTAGGCCGGACGCACACTGATCCAGCATTTCACCTGAAGCAAAATGTTGCACAACGATTTGCTTTAAGCGTTTTGTTTCTTTGCTTCTCCAGTGTGCGAGAGGTTCAAGCATGATGCAGCATTTGGTTTTAAGCAAAAATAAATATTATTTGTCCTGGTACTCTACAGTATTGTTTTAACATGTGTGACGAGGAAGTCAACGTAGCTATTGCTGTATGTCAGTCTTTGCAAATGCTAGACTGAGTAAGAAAACATGGGGTTCACTCAAACAATCAGATAGACATTAATGCTCTCAGAAATTAAATCAGATCCAGGGAAATTTTACAATTATTATTGTCGAATACTTGTTACACTATTTTATTGGAAGGGTTTTTAATAACGTAAGTGATATCGTTAGAAATTATTATTTGATAATGTGTGATGGTTATAAATAATGAACTAAATAACATGGGTTGTTTCTTAATTATCTACTACCTGTATGGTTATCAAAGAGGTAGCAAGAACAATTAAACAACAATGTGGGAAATTCAAAAAAAATAATTTTTAAGTTGTAATGAAACTTGCATTTTTCAAAGAGTAATTTTGTAAACAACAAAAGGTCGATTGAATTTTGAAAGCCACTAAGCTTTACTAGCTAGAAGGGATTTGGCGCATGCGCAGAACGTTTTGCTCCTTGAAACATCAAACATCGTGCTGTATGGGATCCATTCGTCGAGCAACTGCTCAAATGTTTCAAAACGTTTGCTTGATCAGGGTGCGGCGTCCGATTGAAATACATGGAGCGCTCGTACCCAGCGAAACATTTTGCCTCGCAACACTTGCTTCAGGTGAAATGCTTGATCTGTGTGCGTCCGGCCTAGAATAGAGCAATTTATTGTTTAGTACAAAAATCCAATCAAATCAGTATAATGGAAATTTGCTACCGGTACTTAAAAATTACCTCCTGGCAACCCAGACAGCACACTTTCTCCTCAGGACATCCCACGGATATTGCGACAGGATATGCAAGATATCCCATAGTGGTCCTATGGTCAACTTGGGATATCACAGGATATCCACAGGAATGCGTAATGTCCCCGCCCGGGGATGTCCTACGGATAAGCTCACACGCATATCCGTGGGACATCCGAGGTCATCCCAGGGTAGTCCTCAGGACATTCTCAGGACATATGGGACTACTATGGGATGTCCCTGGGATAAAGTGTGGTCTGGGCCTGAACATAAAAAACACAAAATAATATAGATTTAGTATGAAAAGCTTAATTATAAGTTTAGTAAATTGATTAAATAGTTAATAAACACAAATTTTCAAGAAAAAAACAAGAAAAAAGTTTTTGGCCCAGACAGGTTTCGAACCTGGTACCTTCGCCTTGTGAGCCTCTTACCTTACCTCCTGAGCTATCTGCGCTTGTTGATTATGGGTGTTTAGGTGTTTTCAAGTGGTTAAAGAGTAGCCGACAGTTGCAATGGTCGCAATACTTAAAATATTTTTGATACTAACATAGGCTATATATGATTCTGTTAATCTGTTTAGGCCTCAAGTAGTTGAATTGTTTTTCTGGTAGTTGGAGAGGATACTGGTATTTGAATATAGATTATTTAATCACCATTAGATTAGCACTGTAATAATTGATTGTTATATGATTAAAATTAGTTTTTTGTTGTTTTATTAATTTAAAGTTAGAATTAAATTCACATTTCACACAACTATGATAGAACTCTCTAGTTTTCCTGAACTCAGTGGTAGTAATATGTCAGTAAAGTAAAGTCAACCCTTGCTAGCCATAGTATTAACAAGACATATTTTCAATCTGGGAAACCTTAAACTTTTAAAATAAATTATAAAACCTCGACATCTTAATGCGTGGGAATCTTATTTTTACAAAAAAAAAAAAAAAAAAAAAAAAACAGACCAAAATTATTTGTTAAATAATGAAGACGGCCCAGTTATAAATTCGGAATTACTGAAAATAATTACATCAAGAACAACACTGTAACATATCCAAAATTCAAAAGATTAATTTTTCTAATATTATTTTTTATTTTTCCAATATCCTTTAAATCATCTGTTTTAACTTTGTTTAAAATTAATTTATTAAGTAAATATTTACTTTCTGTACTAGTGTAAACACAGCCTGAAGATGGAAACCAAGTTTCTGAAAGCACTAGTGAAAAAAAACAAATTATTATATATCGGCCTTGTTGAACATTTAAATTTAGATATACTGTACATTTCATCAGTGGTAGTATTTTTTTCTTCAGCTTGTTACCGGGACATTACGGGACATTACAGGATATCCTGTGGATTTTTTACATGTCCCGGGATCTCATGGGACATTCTGGGATATCCTATGGCATTCGTACATATCCCGGGACTTTACAGGATATCCTGAGGTTAACTTACAAATCCCGGGACATTACGGTATATTGTAGGATATCCTGTGGATTTCGTACTCGTCCCGGGATTTTGCGGGATATCCTGAGGATAGCGCACATATCCCGAGACATTCTCAGGACATATGGGACTACTATGGGATGTCCCTGGGATAAAGTGTGCTGTCTGGGAAGAGTGATGGACCATGTTCTTTCTCTGACTACAGATGATTTTTGCGTTTACAAAAATCTCAAACCACACTATTTTTTATTTAGAAGAGGTTAGAGGGTTGTATTTTTTTTTACAGAACAATGTTTCATCAGTTTATGTTTTTACCGAGAGTGCTATTGTTGTGCATGTACTGCACACAACACTTTTGTATTCCTCGGCGAATCAGGTGACTGACTCAGCGTGATCTAGCATCCATAAAAAAAAGGCTATTGTTCATGTAAATCTTGATTGAATACCGCGCCACAGAAGCCACCACATGAGGAGAGAGAAGAGCGTCGACTACATTAACAGTTAATGGTTTGGTAGAAGCCCTGAAATCTTAAGACACACATGCACCAGCAGTTTTACCGTTGCCTAAATATGCCTTAAACCATTTATTAAAAAATAAATAATACGTGATATAGTGTGTGACACTTTACCGGACATCTCAGAGCCCCCTTTTATATGGATTTTATTGTATATGAATAAAATATCCACGATATGTTTAATATATGTTTTATATGTCCATGGTGTTTTAACGACTGACACGTTCCAGAGTTGGCAACTTAACGCATATGCACGCTAAATATGGGCTTGGGGTGATTTACCTATATTGAAAAAATAGGTGCTGTAAATTTAATTCGGGCAAATTGTGGATTTTTTCACTACGACATTCTCTTGATATCATATCTTCATTTCATTCACTTCTTCATGACTATTAATTTAAATAGGTCTACTTGATTCTGCGTTGCTTATTACCATAGATAAAACATACTCCTTTACCTTGTGTTGGTTAGTGTTATAATTTCTAATAGACTGCATTTGAATTACCAGCTGATCATATGATCTTTATTCTTTTTGATTACTATTGTTTATGTTTAGTTTCTATTCTATGTTAATGGAATAATACACTTTTTTATCTGATTTATCTTTTATTATGTTATAAAGAGTTACAACAGTTAGTCTATGTTATTACTCTACAACTAGTGAGATATAACATATATAATAAATGTTAATAGGTTTTTGTGTTTAAGTTTTATAAACATCGTATAGCATATAGCTCTAATTAAGAGTTAGTCGTTGATTTTTGTATTCACTTAACAATATCTATTCTTTTACAATTCTCCAGCCTTTGTTCAGGAGGAATGTCATAGAGGTTTCATTCACTAGCTTTGGTCCTGAAATCGACATTTCTCTATATTATCGCATATTGAGAGACTATTGCCATTGCCCTCTCAAAATCGCAGACGTCGACTTAAAACTTCGAGTTGAATCAATAATCTTGATAGGGGATGGGATGGGATAGCGGGATAGGGAGGAGGTTTTTAATCAATGTTATACACATAACATAGCCATTTTGATCAATGGTATAAAGACAATGGTTTAAGCCATTAATTTACTCCACAAATCAATCAAGTAAGTAAACAATAATAGGATGATTAATCGATTAATCCTTCTAGGTTGTGAATCGAAAAGATCTTCTGTCTGACTGCGTTATTAACTACCGGGACCAAAGAGTGTGAAGCCTAGCTCTGATTCAGTGTGTGTGTGCAGTGATCACTTGATCCTTCTTGATCGTTAAAATTTTCAAAATGGTGGTGACAGTGTTGTGAATGAATAACCACTAAGCCACTTGTCACTTTTTAAATACTATTTTTATATATTTTTTATTTATTGTCTTTGTGCCAATAACTTATATTTATTTAATAATGAGTAATTCGACAGCGTTATTTGCTTGCTCTAGATGCTTTACCAGACACCCGTTTGAGGAGCTGTCACCAGGTCAACAATTGTGCAAGGTAACTTAGTCTAGGTTATTTTTACTGTTTTATACGACGTTAGTTTCTTGTGACGAATCCAAACATTTGAAGTTTCGTAATTCTAAGTTAAATATATGCCCTAATTATGTTTGGGAATGCTCCTTGACATTGCAGTTAGATTAGCATGTCCTTATACGTCTTCCTTCCAGGCCTGTGTAGTCTTAATCCAGACTAGCTAAGCCTAAGTTCTAGGCCTTAAGAGTCAGAATGATTTTAGGTTTGTTGGTTTGTATCAAACTAAGCAAATGTTTTTCAAGCAATCATTTTATTATATTTTAAGTCCAAGTAAACCAGAGTAGAAGAAAATACATTTGAATTTACTTAGAAATACAGTAAACTTAGGCCTAGCTTTGCCCAACTAAGTTAGGCCTATCTTGCAAAGTTTTAACCCTTTGAGTGCCAACGTCCGGGGAACCGGACGTTTTTAAAACGAGCCAAAAGTGCCAACGTCCGGCCGACCGGACGTTTTTAGAACGAGCCAAAAGTGCCAACGTCCGGCTGACCGGACGTTTCGTAATGATCGAACAGCTGTCATAACAACCGAATAAATACTCGGATTCTTTTAACCCATATATTAACATTGAGTCGAAAGTTGCTAGATGCGATACATCGATTTTCGTTGGTCGAAATATCGAAAATTCGATTTTTACGAAATTTTAACCTAAAAATCGCCAGATCGCGCTCGGCATTTTTAGCGCGACCTTCGGGAAAAATCATCGGCATTTTTTGAGCGTTACTTTTATTTCTCGCCTGGCACTCTAAGGGTTAAGTAAGTTACATAACTTAAACCTAGACCACTGAACCCTATTTTAAGTTATTTATCTCTTACAATAGGGTAACTTTCACTTAGTTACAATTTACTAAAAGGTTCCTGTTATGGTAGGCCTACCTAAGTTACCTCCCGAATAACGGAACAGTGGCTTCGTTGAACTTACTGTGACTATCTTACGTTCATATTTTCCATTGTCCTCTTGTATCAATGAATCATGTAAGAGAAGTTACTGGGCTGCGTATTTAACTTAATGCATGTTAAGTTAAATCTCGATATTGTTTGATCTACAGGCTAAGTGAAAAGCAACATTACTTTTCCGTTGCTAAGTTAAGTTTAATGTGTTAAAACTTTAAAATGTAGCCCAAGCTATAACTTATTTCATAATCTGCGGTTTAACCCTCCAAGTGTCCATAGTTTAGGCCTTAATGTCCACCTATTTTTGGCGCATTTGCAAGGTTTTATTAAAACGGATCTGAGAAGCTTAAAACAATGTTAATTCTAATGTTCTATATACCATTTTGTTTGGAAAATCATGGGCTTCAATATTATATATAAAACATAAGGAACATTTAAAAAAAAAAAAATTTTTTAGGTAAAAAAAATATAATTTCGAAAATTTTCAAAAAAAAAAATAAGTTCGCGCTCAATGAAATTGTATAAATTATAGGCCTATAAATATTTGAAAATAGCCACTTTGTTCTAAATTTTATGAGGATTACAAATATATAATAATATAAGGAAGTAGATTTGCAAATAAATAAGTTATGGGCAAAAAACTGATTTCAGTACATAGCGTTTAGCTAAGAATGCATAGCCTAACCATAGCTAGGAATCTGGCTGATAATTTACATCAATATCACTACCTACTTCTTCAGGATCATCAACCAGCACTTCAAAACCACTTAAATCTTCTTATAATGCACCACGTATATCACTACTTTTGATTTTTAACACTAAAACAATGATAAACGTAATAAAACACATCAGTCATCGGTCCGAGGGTAACCTAGCTGTTTACAAATACACGCACGTCAGCAGCGTCAGCTGTCTGCTACAATATTTTCGGAACTAAAATGAATAGCGCTTAGAGACAGACCTCTGCAGAAAGCTTAGAATATTACGGAAAGAACGATACCTAACTCGATCCAGTTCAATCCGATTCAGGCAGTCATAGAGCCTTCGCCGTAAACGATGTCTGCGTGTCGAAAAATCGACAAGTAACACTACACAAAGTGTGCTGCTTGTCGAATTTTCGTCAAGTAACACTGGGAGGGTTAATTGAATTAAATTACATAGCCTAAATGTTTTTCCTTGCAACAAGTGTTCTTAGTAAAATATTTTCTCTATTAGGCCTATTTACTATAAGGTTGTAATTGAATGGTACAAATAAAATAGTAGGTGCAAGAGGATAACTTAACTTAACTTAAGAGGTTAGTTAACCTAAGTTGAGGAACCTGTCATGCCGTGATGAATTTCCGCCATCAATTAACATAATTACTTATGTTTTTATTGTAATAAGCAAGTTATTATTACAAATTTGACGCTAAGTACCGGTAAACTTAAGTTAAGTTTTGTTTTCTTAAGTATAAAAGTGTTTTTATAGAGATTAACATATATAACTTAACTTAATACCCCCGCCCCAGTAGGCTAAACCTGCCGGTTTAGCGAAAAGCTAAAAACTCAAGTTAGTTAGGCCTAAATCTATTTCAATAACTACAACCCCGACCCCGGCTAGCTATAGCTTACTGGCTTGACGAGTACACCTAGGTTTGCTGCTAAGTTACAGGGGGGGGGGGGGTAAATTCCTAGTTACGACCATTTGAGATTTTTAAGTGATAATGTCATGAGGTTGTGCAGAATTACATAGATCACCACTGCAATGTTTTTTCCCTCGCTCTTAAAGGAAAATGTGTTTTTTTAATAATTTTTTTTAGAAGTAGGAATTGGCTAGCTCTGGAACTCGGTCGGGTGGCGGAACTAGCTAACTCTGGAACTGGCTAACCGTCCCAGTCAAGAATTGACTAACTCCGGAACCCGCTAACTCGATTTTGTACCGCGGCAGAATTCGCTAACTCTGCAAGTCGATAACCCGGCCGCACCCACTGCACGGAGCGTCGCCAACCTTACACGGCGAAATAATCGTACACTGCCGTAGGTATTTCAAAATATCAGTGTCAATAAAGATAATTGTTATTGTTTTTAGCGAATTTCCCATATAGGGATTAAGCTACCTATTACCGTAGTACTCATGGTAAGACCTGGACCCGGGACCGATTTAATTTTTCGTTCTGAGGTCCCTAGAGGCCAAAAACACCATCCTTTCAAATTCATATATAGGCCTATATGTGTCCGTTAGCACGATAACTCGAGCAAAATGATCCGATTTTGATAAAATTTGGTATAAACCTACATTTATTCTAACGAGTTCGGGAACCAGCATGATCGGACTATGGTAACGACGGGGGTTTATGGGGGATTTTATGGGGTAAAAATAGGTTTTTCCCAATTTTGACCCTAAAAACACAGAATTTCACAATTTCTCTAAGCCATTTTGTTGAGCTTAAAAAAAAAAAATAATTTAGTATATTGAAGCGTTATTGTGCGCATAATGGTTACGGAGAAAAATTGTAGGCCTAAATTTAAAATTCCCATGTTGTTCTTATGGAGAATAAGTCAACTGTTGTAGTTTGCTTGTTTATGAACATATTTTGATCGAATTTGGAAAATACATTTTATTTCTTGCTAAACTATTAACTTAAAAAAAATTACCCTCCCTGTTGCAGCAAACCTAAGTACTCGTTAAACTAATTTTATTTAAATAGGGAATAAATGTGATATTTTAAAGGAGGCATTTTAATGTAGGCCTAAATCCAATCAGGCTAATGGAAATTTGCTTAGTCTGCAGGTTTGCTGCGGGGGGGGGGGGTATTTTTCATTCTAAATGAACCACTGCATTATACAGCTAGGTACCTAGAGCCCAAAGTAATTTTAAAGGCAATTAAAAGATCATTAAATGTCATTGTTTTGTATTAACTTAGGCTAAATATTTATGATTTCTAAATTAAATAGATACCAGTTGTACCTGGGGATTGACATATGGCTTGGTACCTATAGTTAATTTCCATTGTACCCCTATATCGATTAATCTTCAGTGTAATCTTTGCTCAATAGTAACAAATTATGTTTTTCCCTTTGTACTGTACTTACTTTCTAATTCGCTAGGTACTGTACTGTGGATGGCTTGTTATCTTACTAATATTATAAATGTGAAAGTTTGTGTGTTTGTTTGTTTGAAGTTCAATCACGCATAAACCACTGGACAGATCGGGCTGAAATTTGGCATGATGATAGCTTACATTCCCGATTAACATATAGGCATATTCTTATCTCAAAAATCCTTACGGGCTCCGCCCCAGTGGCTCTGTAATTCTCCATGTTAACCTTATGAGAATTCATATTTAAAGGGAATTAAAGAATTTAGTCAGCTGTTTCAACTAAAATGCTGGTTCTATGATATGGAAAAGCATTAAAAAGTTATAAGATTTACCAACAGGGTGCAGCACTATATTTTTTTTTGCATTTATGAAAACAGCTAATTTGAACTAAGCAACAAGAAAAAAACTGTGATTCGCAATGAGAACTGTCAAAGTAGGATTGTTTACAGTTATGTTTATGTTTTTCATTTCATGAATAATTTGTGATATTTTGCGAATTGTTGATAATTTATTTGTTTCTATTGTTTAGGTGAAGTGGTAGTGGAACATTATGGCTATGGTAGATGTGTAATACTATAAAATACTGTAAATTTAAAAAAGCAAATTTTATCAAACTGTGTCCTCCCTTATTGCAAACGCAAAGCTTGAGTATAACTGCAATAAGCATTTTATACTTATATTCCAACCCCGTACGAAGGACAGGTACTCTGCTAGTAAATACATATGTTACAAGTATTTTGTTTAGTTTTCCCTTGTTATTTTTTTCCACCAACATGGTTACCTGGCAAACCTTAAGGCATGTAGGCCTACTGTAAACATTTTTTTAAATCCAATTTAGTTTTTTACGTAATTAGATTTTTGTTAGCAGTTTTGACTGCGCTTTAAACACGTTTTTAGTCCAGAAAAAGGCCCAAATTATTTAGGTACAGCATTTGAAGGAAATTGTTGAAGCTGTTGTCGAGATCTTTATGCAAGCATGTACAAGCAAACATTGCTCATAGGCTATTTAAATAAAAAAAAGATTATAGGAAAATAACTGTAGCCTACGTGAAGAATATTAAGAATAGTAGGTGCTACTAATTAAACCAACTATGAAATTAAGCCCAACAACACGTGAGTTCTCTAACATGTACATGACAATTTTAATCGTGATTTCGTAATAGAACATTAATTAATAGTCATTTTTTAACTACGTTTCATAATTTATTCATAAAATTAAAGGTTGGTTGTTGAATCGTGCAACTTATGTGTAAAAATATTACATAGGTACGTTTCAAAAAAGTTTAGTCAAAATAGAATAATTGTAAACTTAAGCCTAATAGTAAAACACCAAAGCATTGTAAACCTAAGCCTAGGCTACTGTATAAGCTAGTAGCCTAATCCAAAAATTTGTTGAATATTGGGGTAATAATGTTTTATGTTTTAATAACAGTTTTTAGGGTTGTTAACCTATGCCCACTAGTAAATAGGAGGAGGTATGACATTTTTGAGCTGCCTAGAACGAAAGTGGTGTAAGTCCCTGAAACGAAACCAAGTTTTGAGTACAGTAACTGTTGTTTTTATGAAACAAAGTTTAAAAACCAGGTCATTTAACCCTCCGAGTGTTATTTGTCGATGCGTCGACACATAACACACTTTGTGTAGTGTTTTGTGTTGATGCATCGACTCACAAACAGTGTTTACGGCGAAGGCTCTATGACTGACAAAATCGGATTGAACTGGATCGAGTTAGGTATCGTTTTATTTGTCAGATTCAGAGCTTTCTCCGGAGGTCTGTCTCTAAGCGCTTTTCATTTTAGTTCTGAAAATATTGTAGCAGACAGCTGACGTGCGTATTTGTAAACAGCTTGGTTAACCTCGCACCGATGACTGATGTGTTTTATTACGTTTATCATTGTTTTAGCGTTAAAAATCAAAAGTAGTGATATGCGTGGTGCATTATAAGAAGATTTAAGTGATTTTGAAGGGCTGGTTGATGATCCTGAAGAAGTAGGTAGTGATATTGATGTAAATTATCAGCCAGATTCCTATGGTTAGCTATGGTTAGCTATGGAATATGCATTCTTAGCTAAATGCTATGTACTGAAATCTGTTTCTTGCCCATAACTTATTTATTTGCAAATCTACTTCCTTATATTATTATATATTTGTAATCCTCATAAAATTTAGAACAAAGTGGCTATTTTAAAATATAGGCCTAGGCCTATATAATTTATACAATTTCATTGAGCGCGAACTTATTTTTTTTTTTAATTTTTCAAAATATTTTTTTTTACACAAAAATTTTTTTTTAAACAAATGTTCCTTATGTTTTATAGATAATATTGAAGCCCATGATTTTCCAAACAAAATGGTATATAGAACAGTATAATTAACATTTTTTTCAAGCTTCTCAGATCCGTTTTAATAAAACCTTGCAAATGAGCAAAAAATAGGCAGACATTAAGGCCAAAACAAGGGACACTCGGAGGGTTAATGAAAGTGGTGTAAATAACGGGAACTAAGTTTTGAGTATTTGTTGTATTTGTGAATCAAACCGTTTAAATATTCAGGTTATATATGTAGAAACAGTTTTGGCCTAATATTTCATTATTTATTTTGCATAAAACATTATAATTTAAGTACACATCATATAGCTTACAACACTGTTTGTCATTCTCAGTCCAACAGCTGTTTTGTTTTGGTTATGGACATCCCAGAAACAAAAGAACCCTGGGCCATTTCGAGCCGCACAGCTTTGAAGGGTAGGCTACACCACACCTACCAGCGCGAACCACTTCATTATTTCGTTTCTGCGCAGGTTGTTTTGTTCTTGGGATGTCTATAGTTGATATTTTTTTTGCTGCCTCTGTGGTCTAGTTTTTGAGCTCATACTGAACATAAGAAGTAAATACCCCTGCTGCAGCAAACTTGCCGACTAAGCGAATTTCCATTTGCCTGGATTGATTTTCAATTAATCTATTGAATTAGCATTTATGTTTAACGAGTACCTAGGTTAGCTGCTACAGGAAAACTAATAAAGTGGGGTTTTTTATTAAAATATCAATAGCTTAGTATGAAATAAATAAATTCGCCAAGTTTGATCAAACTATATGCCTAAACAAGCCAATATTGTAAAATGTTGTAGCTCTACAACATTTTACAATATTCTCCATAAGAATAACATGGGAATTTTAAATTAACAATTTTTTGAATTTCCTACGTAACTAATCATTGTACAAAAACACTTTGATATACTAAATTATTTGTTTTTTTAAGTTTTTTAAAAAGGTCTGAAGAAAAATCGATAAATTTTGTGTTTTAAGGGTAAAAAAATGAGAAAAACACCATTTTTCCCTATAAACCCCCCTGTTAAACCCTGTTCCCATGGTCTGATCATGCTTGTTCACGAACTCATTCAAGTTTATCCCGCCTTACACCTTCAAACAAAATTTTATCATAATCTGACAAAAATTAGGCTACTCAAGTTATTGTCTGGACGGACACATATATATCCATATATAGATAAATATACATATATCAAAATTTGAACGAATGGTGTTTTTGGCCTCTGGGGACATCAAAATGAAAAAGTAAATCAGTCCCGGGCCTAGGTCTTACCATGAGACCTACAGTAATAGCTACTTCCCTATAGGGAAATTCGCTAAAATGAGCCCAATTTAGTATAGAACTCACAACTCAGATTTAAAAATGTTGACTTAGGCCACTTGCATTCTAGGCAGATCATACATATTAAAATGTGACAGGGTTATTTTATTTCACAATTCGAATCAACCACTTGACAAATTTTCTGGTTTTGGTGTTTAAGTAGATAAATTTGAAAGAAAGGGAATGTTGAAGTCATAATTTTAGTTCAGAGTTTCAGTCTTATATATAGGCTATCAAGTTATTATTTTCGAAATATCTAGTTGCCGACATAAATAACTGTTTATTTTAAGTTTGTTTCAATGTAATTTGGTCAAACAGTGGGTTTCAAAATGTCACAAAAATGTTTACGTAACAAGTTGTTTACAATAATAAGCCTATTGATCGTCGGTAAAACAAATTTTTTGAAATGTAGTTTTTTTTTACCGTAACAACATTACCGTAACACTCACGTATAATCAAGATTTGTAGTAGGCCTAATAATAATCTGTGTAGCCTATATAAATTATCTGTGGAAATATGCTTTAGTTGTTCAATTGATTAATTCATAAATACATTTTAAATTACTAAATACATTTTAAGAAAGGACATTATATAAAATTAGGCTATAAGAAGAATGACGAAGCACCTGTACATTTATCTATAAGCTCTGTACGTTTATGTGCTAATAAACATGATTTGGTTTGATAGTACCAGGGGCAGAGTCTTGCTCGGTTGTGGTTAATTGGGTTTAATCGTTAAAACAATATCGTTAACAGACATTTTATAATTTACGAAAAACATTTTTAATACAAACCATCTAGACATTTGATCGCTGAAATAATAACAACTCTGTAATGTGAAAGTTTGCAATTAAGCCAAACTAAGAAACACATTTTTAAGTGCTTCTCGCAGAGAATTTTTCTCCCCTCTAGTCATTGCAACCGGTTAAAGTCAATTTATACAAAAACATAAATTACAGTAGGCCTACTTAACTTATATATGTTAACAGTGTAGGTAACAATAAAAATAATTTATTTTGATTAAGATCACGTGTTGCAAGGAAAAACGTAAGTAGCATAATTATCAAACCAAAGATCATTAAATATAGGTACATACTTAATTATACTATTATGTTTTTTTTCGGCCCAGTATTTTTTATTGACATTTGCTGAGAACTGAAATATTTACCACGGCTAATTAGGATTTAAGTTAATAAAAATATATAGTGATTGCTTTCCTGTACTTTTTCAGATGAGTAGGGTAGGTTATACATATAGCTCGGCTAATAATGTGCCGCTAAAAAGAACTGGCATAAATTTATCGTAAAGTTCCCATAAAATATCTGACTTCTTTGTTATGAATTAACATATTATTTTATGTGATTTTTTCAGGAATGCAGAGGAGCATTTCCAGTTGTGAAGTGTACTTATTGTAGATCAGAATTTCAACAAACCAAGTATGTAACACTTTTCTGTTATTGTGAGTCTTCAGTAGAAAGAAAGTCTTATCTCTAAATAAAGAAAATATCTCCCGGAACTCTGTTACACTGGATCCCCCTCTTGATCTCTGATCTTTATAATACCATAAATGTTCTCTTACGTTAGGCCTACGATTGTTTGGAAATAGATTGAGAATGTGTTGTTTAATATGCTCTTAAGCCATTTTTGGCATTCCAAACTCAGCCCTATGCAAAATTTTAATATCCAAAACTTGAATGTCTTTATAAGTAGGGTAGTGTAACATAAAAGGTTAGTACAAAATAAACGGAGGTTAAAAACCATCTTAATGTGGGTTGTTATTATCATTACATTATAACTAAAGCAAGCTATGATAATTATGTTAGCTTACTAAATACACCACAGTCGACTAATCCGAGTTAATCTGTGCCTTCCCCTTTTTGTATTACCAAATTTTTTGGATAAGCAATAATAATGAATTTCACCTTCTAAGCTTAGAAGACAAAATTCTGTAAAATTGCTAAAAAAATGTAGGTATTTTTATGACTTTAACTTGCTCTCGAGATCACATATTAAACACTATGAACGTCTCAATGTTGTGAAAATTTCTTACAATCACATTATTCCTACTTCTCAACAACTTTTAGAGAAATGAATGCTTACTTGGCTATAGGCTTAAAAAATCAAATTTTCCTGGTTCCATACATAATTAATGTAAAATTCCCAAAAAACCACGAGGGAAACCCTTGTTGGCTGGAACCATGTAACCCTTAATTTCAGAACTCACAGCTTTGTTTTTAATTTAAATTAAGTAGTAAACCTATTTTCCGCAGCAGGTGTTTGGGATTATCGAGACTCTGGTGTAATTACTACTAACAGCCACCGAGAATGTAGGCCTACTACAAACTGTCAAAAAAATGTTGAACTTTTTGCGTTTGGCAAAATAATTTACACACACCTTATAAGTTAATTCTTTTTGTTAGCAATTAAATAAATATTTTCTGCCAAGACGAACCTTGATCTCTTTCTTTCCACCAGTAGAGTAGTAGTCTACAGTCAATAGTTGCTAACAGTCATCAATAATACTTTTGCAGTAAACTAAGCACCAGCACGATATGCAAGAAATGTGAAGTAAATGTGAAACAGTATGGTAAACCGACAGCTTGCGAGTATTGCAATATCATCGCTGCCTTCATTGGCAATAAATGTCAACGTTGCACCAACTCGGAACGCAAATATGGGCCTCCGGTCACGTGTGAGCAGTGCAAACAGAAGTGTGCGTTTGATCGCAAAGATGAGGATAAGAAGGTATGCATTTTTTTTTGTCTAGTTTCACGTTTTCTAAGTGTTTCTTGACTATCTTTTCTTCCTTTGTCAGATATGTTATAGCTTGTTGTATTATTACATGTAGAGAGATACCTTGCTTTGTAAATAATGTAGCATTTTTTTTTACTTAGTTTTTGTTATTTCAAACGCACTACTGCTTTTCTACTGACACTCTTCTTTGTGTTTTGGTGATTTTCCCCTGTGGATAAGTAGGTACGGTACAGTAGGACCTTGATATCTCAAAGCTAAAGGGGTAAGGGTAAAAATTCAAGTAATTGATTTTTTCAAGTAAGCGAAGTTTGATTTATCAAGGTGTATGTCGAGGTTGTGAATTCTGACAATATTGTTATTGTAGTGCCAGCTGGTTTAATATTTTTCATTTAATTTGCTAACACATGTTATGATTATTGTTTGTTGTTTAAATTTTAGTTTTACCTAGTTATTACTTAAAATAAACACAGAGGATACGTGTAGTGCCAGCTGGTTTAATATTTTTCATTTAATTTGCTAACACATGTTATGATTATTGTTTGTTGTTTAAATTTTAGTTTTACCTAGTTATTACTTAAAATAAACACAGAGGATACGCGTCCGGTAACCAGACGTGGATTAGGCGTCCGGTAACCAGACGTGGATTAGGCGTCCGGTAACCAGACGTGGATTAGGCGTCCGGTAACCAGACGTGGATTAGGCGTCCGGTAGGGGGTCCCGGAACGCCATTACCACAATGATACGATGTTCAGCCATCAGTGTTCGTGGTGTAGTGGATAGAGTGCTTGACTGATATGCGAGAGGTCCCCGGGTCGAAACCCATCGGTAACTTTAACTTTTTGTCATCAGATTTTGCTTTGAATGTAATTTCTTCTTAACTGTACATCTTTTGTTAGAATTTTTGGCATTTATAATTTTATGTTATGAAGAGAATTGAACCTTCATTTGATTTTTTTCACTATCAGCAAGTTTGGTTGGTTAGGTTAGGTTATGACAGTAACTGCCGGACGCCTAATCCCCGTCCGGTTACCGGACGCGTATCCTCTGCGTAAAATAAAAGGTTGTTCATTTTTCTTGTGACATATTATTTGGCACCGCTACAGTTATGTTTCTAGGAGTAACTCAAACCTTTTCAAGCTAAGCCTTTATAACTCGAGCTCAAGCTATATCTCCGTATTGAGTAGAGTAATACACAGAAAAGTGTTAAAAATGTGATTGTATTTAAGGAGAAACGCAAGTTAAACTATTTGCTTGGTAGGTACACAACAAAATACGACAAAAAAAATAGTTTTAAAAATATAAATCACAATATGATTTACAATACCATAGTAAATAAGAAAAACGTTACTTGTTTGTTTTAAATATTGTATAAAATTAAAAATATCAATTATTTGGGCATAGGTACACAGTACTGGTACAGTATTTGTTCTATCGCCATGGTAATTAAGGTTAGACTATTCAGTGAGTCGGTGGCTCAGTCGGTAGCGACGCGGACTTCGGGCCCAAGGCAGCGATGTCGTGGGTTTGGTTCCTGGTCACTGCCGAAAACATTTTATCAGTACAGTTCACCTTTGTACCGGCTCACGAGCCTTGTTTTACTGTAAAACGATCCATGCACGGGCGGTTAATCAATGTGGACGGGCAAATGCAAGGTTAAAAAAAGAAAAAAAAGACTAGACAAAATTTTCTAACTTGCGTCTTTAAACAAAATAACAATCCTCCTCAGCAGGATGCTTTTTAAAAATCATCGATATGATGTCAGGTGGAATCCCACATTCCCAAACTGCTTTGAATTTTTTCCTAACTGCCTAAATCATTCTTCTTTTTACCCGTGTCAACGTTTTTTATTTAGGCATACTTAGCTGATGACATGAAGTCCGACGAGCACAAAATAATCTCAATAACTAAACAAAATAAATAAAACAGAACCATCTAAACAAAGAAGATGAATAATTTTCACGTCCCAACAAGAATAAAAAACTGCTGATTTGTCAGTACGGCATCAAATTATGAACACATAGTACTAGAGTAATTTTTGAGTACCTCATGAGAACTTATACTCATAAATTGGTAAACTATGAGTTATTGAGGCTTGTGAACATGGAACTTTCATTAATAGAGGTAAAGTATTACAGAAAATATGTAAAAATTATACTTATAATGGTTAAATATTTAAAACCTTGGACTTGATTGTAATTTATCAGTGTTTAAAGAGGATTATGAAAAATTCAAGATATCGAGATTTGAGTTATTAAGGTCCTACTGTTTTTAGTGTTCATGGTTAAAACATGTTCCTTACTATATATCTGTACCTTTTTTAAAGTCCCCTGAAGCCAAAAGAGTGTTTGTCCAAGTTATTAGTTTTACAACTCATTTTTATACAACAAAAATGTTGTTGTTTATAAACAAGTTTCACTTAACAATTACACTGAAGTACTGCAGTATCTTTTACTCCCCTGCCAGCTTAACTTTAGTATTTTTTACCCAGAGTGAGACGGAACCAGGCGATCACACAAATAGTTTCCTTCCTCAAATCTGTTGTGTTCGAGTGTCACTTGGGGTGCACAGCTATCCAGTGATGCACAGGATCTGTGATAGCCCGTGATCACAATTCTGATTCTGACTCAATTATCTTTTTACAAAATTGTTAATTGAAGATAAAAGTAAGAATATAATACTTTTCTAAATAAATACATTTTTATATCATGCTCAGTTTCAAATCAGTCAAATATGAAGTGAATTGGTGATTTTTTGGATATGTAATCATGTCCTAAAATAATTTTGATATAATTTTAGTTTTAACATCATAAATATTTGCTTTGGTGGTGGTGTTTTCTCATTCTTGTTTAAATTATAAGATCCTAGCTATGGTACGGTATGCATTATACGAGGGGGTTTCTTTCTTTCAAGTATGGGCCATTTGTTTGTGTTGTTTGGAACAATTTTTTTTTTTTTTTTTTTTGTGTTTTTAGTCCTGCTCCGTAGTTCGTATTTACACCACAACAAGGTGGCTCGCTGCTTACTGGCATCATAAACAGAATTAGACCATTTGCAGCTCTGTAGCTGACATGTACGCTTCGCTGGGGGTCTGGAACATTTTTGTTTAAATCTCTGGCTGCATGCAAGACAATGTCTGTGATACATTTTTTTGACTGCAAGAAACATATCCGATACACACATTCATCACCAGATAACTAAAGTTTAAGACTTAAATGCAATGAGGGGAAAGTGCGGAAATGGGTTAGGTAGTTACAAAGTGGCTGTAAAAGTGTTCATGTTGAGGAACTCTCGGGCCGGATTTGACAGGGTTTCTGGCTTTAAAGTTTACTCTGGGAAGGTTGAGTGCTGTTATTCCATGAATTGATGCTTAGATTCACGGATGATATGAGATATCCACGTTTCGTCTCCGGTAACAACTTGACTCAATATTCATACCCTTCTTCCGTGTAAGGCATAAAACATTTCTAACTTTTTCCCTCACCATTTCAATAGAACCATAAGCTTCAGTCATCTGGTGATGAATGTATGCGTTGGATATGTGCATTTAAAAACGTGTCACTGACCTTATCTTGCATGCAGCAAAAGATTTAATAATTTTAAAAATTGTCTGGGCACAACAAAACGTACACGTCAGCTACAGAGCTGCCAATGGCAGGACTCCGTTCACAAATAATGCCAGTAAGCGATACACCATCTCGTTGTGGCGTACAATCAATCTACGGAGCTATGCGCACAAATGGCCCTCACTTTAAAAACGCCCCTTGTATTTGAAGAGTTTAATCAGCATTGGAATCTTCCTTTTTACACCATGTAGTAGTTTGTTCTTTATTTTGTACGTCTATCTTTTTAACTTTCATTATGACCTGAAATTCAAGAGTTTGATTCATTTCAGAAGAACATTTATAGTCAATTGTACATAAACAAGTTTTAGAAACACTGATTAGTGACTGAACTGTTTCTAATTACTAATTTTGGTTTAAAAAGGATTTTAAACGTTTAAAATATTGATATTGAGTTGTATAAACCCTTTTATCTAACCATACTATTATTTTACTCTAAGAAAAATGTATATTAAGTTCCATTATTGTTGTTTTGGTGTGTTGTGGTGTACACTTTACTTTTGCACAATACCTTTAGTTGGCTGGTTTTTCGCTTGTTTACGTTCACTTTGCTTAGAATTCCCTGTGCATGAAAAATGATAACTTCACATTTAATATTGTCAAGGAGGATGGTGAACTGTCGAGGCCAGAAGACGGACGAGACTCCAAAGTAATTGTTAAGTATTTAATCTGGTTTCTCCTTATCAATGGCATGGATTAGGTTTTTACCTATGTTTTACTATTATTTAATTTATTATCAATTTAAACAGTGAGTGCTTAAGTCACATAGTGAAATAATTGATGAAAATGCAAAATGTAAAAAAAATAATTGAGCCCTAGTGGACGCTCATGAATCTGAATAAAGTTGGGAGATTTTAAGCCTCTCTTCCAAAAATCCCATTTGCTGTATTGTACATATGTTGGCATATTGGTTAACAAAACAATATTTTTGTTTGAATGAAGTCAATTGAAACAATTTTTGTGCCAAACTATGAAAATTACACAGAAAACAATATTTACGCTTTTAACTTAATTTCCAGACAAATTATTTAAATAAAGTACATAGACAATAATTTATTTAAAAAATTACTTTCTCTTAATATATAGAACTGATAACTACTGAATAACCAATAAATCATTAATAAAACAAAGAATCTGATATTTTGTAAAATGAAATGACCCACACTTTCTTTCTGAAACCCCCAGAATAGACCATGATGGACAAAAAAAGTCTCAATCATCAGAAGTTTGTTTCAAATTGAATTGTATACGTTTAAAAAAAATATAATATATGTGAAAAATAATACTTTCTACTTTAATAAATGTAGGAATGGGCTCTAGAAAATCAGTATGTGTGTAACTTTTTCAAGCAAGGCTCCAAAGCTTATACAAAGCTGGTGTGCGATTAGTCAGATGTAGGTGGTCGGCCAAACGAGATGGTTCCAAATAGTAGTCAATGTAACTGAATTAGAACTAGTCATAATTCCTTTTGTTTTTTGAGTTCTGATTGTGTGTGAATCTATCTTTCCTCAATCATCAATGCCTTGTAAAATGTAGTGGTTGGTTAATATGTACAAATTTCTGATGGAATCTGACCACAGGTGGACGGTAAGCTGCTGTGCTGGCTGTGTACGTTGTCGTTCAAACGAGCTCTGGCCAAGACCAAACAGTCGGATGCAGAGAGAAGAGCTCATAACAAGATGATGGCTCAAAAAGCTGCCAAGAACAAAGAAGTCAAGTAAGTAGTGAAATTTATAAAAAAAAATTTGAATTAAATCCCTAATTTCTCTCAAATTATTATTGAAGTCCTTTTTAGGAAGTTTGCTCTTTTTGGCTTGATTGAGGTTGTTCCTAACATGTTGGTGATTAGTTCAGAAATTAAAATGTTCGTTAGACCTAAAGAGCAATACTAAACGTATGGAAACGGAATACAGCCTACCAGGAAAAAATACATCTTAGAGCAACAAAGTTAGTTATATGCTAGAAAAACATTATAATAAAAAATGTATGGCTTATTGTTTTATTTGTAAATTAAAAATGTACTGTAGATGATATTGGGGAAGTAAATGCACACCGATTATACCAAGAACAAGGTTCGGCTGAGTGGATTCACTGTGAACCGGCCTGCCTGGCCCTTATGCATGATGTCACTATAACCTCCGTGTAGGGGTGTCAACAATGGATCGGAACAATCGATGTTTGGAACCTGTCTGTAACCTAGTTTTTTATTCTTTAATACTCATTATTTATAAACAAACACGTCCTACATATCGGATCTCGAATCACGATATTTATCGATACCCTTCCCACCCACAATAAAACATTAAACGATGTCAAAGCAATAGTCATTTGCTCCATTGAAACACGAAAGTCGATTGGCTGACATGGTAGTGCATTGACGCTTCCTGACCAATGAGAACTGTTGTTACATACTTTTATTGTCAACATTCACCATTCGATATAACATTACAAAATCGACACGGACTAAGGCTTATAATATTTTTCAACAAATACATTATGTTATGGTAGCACTTAAAACTTCACTAAACTCTTTAATCAGGTAGATAGTACAGATCAAAATATGGATCTACTTTTTGGCGCAATATAAAGCAAGCCTAACCATACGACGATGTTAAAGTTTAATGGTTGAATATAATTTTTCTAATGATGCGTATAATGCAGGGATTATTAAACTGAAAATTTCGACGTGTTTAGGTTATTTATTTTGTACTAAAAATAAAAATAATACATCTAAATGTCTGACTTATTGTTACAGACATTGTTTAGAATAATTAATTTCGTGTTGGCAGGACATTCACGCGCCGGTTGTCTCTTGAGTTGAGTCTGACATCTTGAAATGTAGATTCGTAGATTGTGTTGTGCAATGCTGAAGCTAAACAATGTCACCGGCACCGTCGCTGTTTTGAACTAGATAGTTTCTAAGTTGGCTATGAAAATTGTTAACCGTGATTACAAAACTAATACTGTAGCTATACAGTAAATGAATGTTAAAATAAAATATTTATCCCTGTCGGATGTCGGTATTATCGGAATCGACTTTTGACAATCGAGTCTTGGTACCGATACCAATGCCCAAGTATCGGTGGTATCGATGACGATAATCAACTCATCCCTTTTTACTAGTAGAGCTGTATCGTGGCATAATCGATGCATCGGGATTTTGATGCATGCTGGATCAAATCGGGATTCGATGCATCGCACTCGCACACCTACACCACTGCCTATCACCCAGTGTCAGCTGTCGGCTCGGCGCTGTCGCTGTCAGTGAAATGGATGACGCAAGCGATGTCTAGGTTGCCGATTATTAGTAGGCCTAGTATGTCAATATTTAAAGGGGTTAAGGGATTAAATAAAACTCAAACATTTTCCTTTCTTACTATTTATTTGTCAAATATCAATGAAAATAACGAAATCGGCTTAACGTCTACTACTCGACTCGAGTCACGAGTATCTTTAACTACTCGACTCGATTGTCGAGTATTGCCAACTACTCGAGTAATTACTACTCGCCCACCCCTAGTTTATGTACGTCCACACTGATCGCTGGGGTAGAAAAAATTTTGTTTCTATTATTTTAGGGTTATTTTCATGATTTGTTCTTTACTATTTGGTTATATAACTAGGCGACCAGTTATTGTTTATAATTATATCGTTTTATTTGGTTAAATGAAGTTTTAACACGTTCGCTACTGGCCGAGGTATACATTTGAATCTTACGCATAGACCGGCTGTCACTTGGTTAACAGTACACACAGACCACGGGCGAAAACCTGTAAAACAGTGATCATTTACATCGTAATACGCTGCAATCGTGTTTGTAAATAATTTATTCTTGTTATTTAAATTTTTATAGTTTTTTGTAATGTCGCATATTTGCAACGCCCGGTCTACAGGGAAGACAATAGTAATATATTTTTTGTCTATTTCATTTAGGTGTGTGTATTTTCATTTTTGTTTGTGTTTTGAGGTGAAAGTAAAACAGATTATTCAAGAACAGTTTATAACTGAACAAATATAATAGCTACATAGGATAATGCAGCATACGTACATACAGGGATGCAGAAAAGTAAAGACCAGTTTTTTCAACTATCATTATGCATCACCAATCATCATATTCACAGACCAAGCGACACCAAACGTCCAAACAACCACTGCAGGGAAGTTAGTGCCTTCAAATAGACAGGGTGTCTACCAACCGGGAAAACCGGGAATTGTACTTAAATTTTTACTGGCCATGAAATGTACGGGAATTGTCCTTAAATGCCAGACTATGTCCTTAAATTTTTAATGGGCCATAATTTTATTGATCGCTAGTTGGTTAGGAGCACATAAAAGGTTTATCAGATGTTTGTTTACATTTTCATAATTTATTACTAGAGTAATTATGCAATAAAAATCCCATTATTAGCAATCTCAAACCCATTAATATTTTATCACGACAATCAAGTGTCAAGTCAAGTACTTCCAAGAACTGTTGACTCAGCAGCTAGCTCATAAAAGTTGTATCACTTTTATTCCTTTACAACTTCTTTTTTTATTACTAGGGTAATTATTATAGCTTTATAATGGCTGTTAAATTCCACTTCTCAATTTGCCGCGGCCAGTGCCTAGTGCCATAAAACTGTTTATGGTTTCATATCAAACATGTAGATAATATACAGTCTTATTTTGTAAGTTAACCCCTTTTTTATGGACATTTTATCTTTCAATTGACAAAACCACAAGCATTGTTGTTTGCATTAATGTTTTATCATTATTTAGGCCTGCTTGGTTTCAAATTATGTCATTGCATTTTCTGTATCTTTGTCTTATATTGTTGGCTATTCAGGTTTCAATGTTTTTTGTTTCCCATACATTTATTTATTGAGTTGTATGCTTTAAGCAATCTAAATCTTATGAACTAGAATGATGATAGTGACTTTGCTGCTATTATAACCTCATTGTTTGTTACTCAGTTTATATAGACCCTCCTAAATAATTAGGTATAGGCCTGGGTATTTTGATTCTTGAAAGAGCTGTAAAATATATTAAGAAAATGTAATTGAGCCTAAGATAAACAACTAATGATTGCTATGTGTCGATATTAACTTTGCAAATGAAAGTACAATAATCTTACTCTGTGCTTATTGCTTATTAATAGCCGCTTACCATACCTTGATATTGTACTAAGAATTGAGTAACAATATGCATTAAAGATTTTTGTTCAAAAGTAGTCGAGAACCTAACGTTGTGCCAGGGCGAATCATGCCAAATTAATCGGCCTGGATAGGATAAGCTATGTTATGAAGTTTACGTGACCGATGGAGATATTTGTTGCTATCGCTGGAGACAATGATTGCGTTTCTCTGTTACACTATAAAAGCTTTACCTAAAGTATAGGTAGGCCTATGTTTGTTTACTTTCAATAATTTTCTATTTTGAAATTTTTAACTCTTACCTATTATTATTTACTTTTCTCTCTGGTACAACTACAGTGAATAACAAGATTAATACAGTTTGACAAATCAGGAAAATTATTCGGAAGGCCTAATGACACCGACAAAGGTTACGGCAAAGTGTCCTTAAATGTACGGGAATTGTCCATGAATTTTTTATCCAGAATGTAGTAGACACCCTGATAGACCGTTACAAAGATATAAGCATTTTAATAACATTAGAACCCGACGCAAATATGCGACGGCAGTCTATTTTAATGTGACTAACCGTCGTATATATGCGACGGCAGTCTATGAGTGGAAACCGGCCGTCGCATATGTGAGTCGCTGGTCTATGTGAATGAAAATTTTCGTACTATTGCAGTAGCGAACGTGTTAAATGACTGAAATAACAAGAAACAAATTGTAAACAAAACACGACCTCTACAGTTGGACGTGCAGAACTAACAATAAAATTGGCTTTAGCTGTCCCATAAGGATGACAAATCTACTAAGGGAGTATGTTTTATCTATGGTCTTACCTTCTAAAACAAAAAATATAAAAAAAATATAAAAAATATAAAAATAAAAACCTTGCTAAATATTTTGTTGCGTTTAGCTGCCCACCATTAAACATAATTTACAGTTAATTCTTGCTGGAGAGTTCTGGTCCAGAGAATTCAATTGAGGGATTTGTAGAAAATAAGAAATGAGGTGGTGGGGAATTTTTACAAGGATTTTTTGGAAAGATGAGTTACTATTAATTATCATCAACCCTAAAATCTGATGCATTTCTCTTATCTTACTAACTATTTTGCTGCAGACTCAGAAGCCACAACAAGAGGCCGAACAGGGTGGACGTGACCAAGATCCCCGCCGGCGGAGGACAGGACAACAACAATGCTGAGTCCAACAACTCCGGGGCCAACAACCCCCCGCCACCCAAGATGCCTAGGGTGAAGCCACCTGGAGACCCGCTGGACCCAAACTCCTCCGACCATGTGGTGGCCATGACTCAATTGAAGGAGCAGATGGCGTCGCTACAGAAACAGCTGACGATGAAGGACAACATTATACTGTCAAAAGACAAAATGGTAGGATAATTGTCTCACGTTACGCTATGAAGTGACTGTACTTTAAGTTGAATCATTCTGTACACAAAACCTTTTACAATTATGGTAGAGTTTTATGCTAGTTTCCCAGTATTTTCACAAATTTTAAATATATTTAATATTCTCATATATTTGGTTATCTATTGCCTTGCAAAGCTTTCCAGTTCAGCAATTGAAATACTTAGAAATATTCTTGCTTAGTAATTAAACTTATATTGGTATCCAACTCAGCATATTTTTTTCTTGTGTTAAAAGGGGCTACAAACCATGCTATTTAATCGCTGACAGTTATTTTAGTTTGTTCTCCCCTACTGTGTCAACACTTCTATCACCACAAAGTATAGTTTGTGATAAAAACTATTCAAAACAACCAGTCGACCCAAAATTACAGAGAACAGTAATAACAGTTCTAAATGAAATACAACAAACAAACTACAAATTATGTCTAATTTCTTTACTAACAAATTACCCACACATGTCTTTACCTACAACTGTTTTCCCAATGCTGTAGGGGATTGCTGATTGATAGTAACTTTTTTGAGCCCACACTATGATTGTCTGTATACAATCACCCTTATCAAATCCCTCAATATGTGTAATTAAAATGGTGTAGGCCTACTTTCTCTATTGACAAAACTCAATGGATCACAGATGAGTTTGAACCTTTGAACGAGTATAGTAACGTTTAAACTCTATTGAATCTCTAATAACAACATCTCTGTCCTTGTCTGGTTCTACATTAAATTTAGCTCCTACTTCTATTCCTTGTCCTGGCAGTTTTACCTTTTGAAGGGAGCTTTCAAAGCTTAATTAAATAGTGAAGGAGACAGTCTGTCTACCTGTCTAACCCCAGTTAGCATGTTGAATTCTAATGACAGTTAATTGTTGATTCTGACTTTGCATCTAGAGTCATCAGTACATGTTCTTGCTAGGTTAATCAGTTTATCAGTGATTCTCATATGAAGCCAATAAATAAAAGGTGAACACATTTTTGTTCAACTCCCAATATTTAGAAACAGCTTGTCGGATGATAAAAAGTTGATCAGTGGTAGACTTTTGTCTTCAGAATCCTGGTTGATGTTCACCAAGAATTTCCTCTTTGTATTCTTAAAGCCTCTTTTCCAGAATTTTGGAGAGTATTTTGTAGGTGGTGTTTAATACAGATATTCCTCTGAAATTGTTGAAGTCTAAATTGTCTCCTTTTTAGCGAATTTCCCATATAGGGAATTTAGCGAATTTCCCATATAGGGAATAAGCTATTACCGTAGGTCTCATGGTAAGACCTGGACCCGGGACCGATTTAGTTTTTCGTTTTGAGGTCCCCAGAGGCCAAAAACACCATCCGTTCAAATTCATATATATATATATATATATTTATATGTATATATTTATATATATATATATATATTTATATATGTGTCCGTTAGCGCGATAACTCGAGCAAAAATGATCCGATTTTGATGAAATTTGGTATAAACGTGTAAACCTACATTTATTTGAACGAGTTCTCGAACCAGCATGATCGGACTATGGGAACAGGGGTTTATGGGGGGTTTTATGGGGTAAAAATGGGTTTTTCAAATTTTTCACCCTGAAAACATAAAATTTTGCAATTTCTTTCTAAACCATTTTGTAGAGCTCAAAAAAACAAATAATTTAGTATATTGAAGCATTGTTGCATGCCTAACGGTTACGGAAAAATCGCAAAATAATGTAAATTTAAAATTACCATGTTATTCTTATGGAGAATAAATACAGTGTTGTAGCTTGCTTGTGTATGGACGTATATTAATGAAATTTTGAAATTTTGTTTACTTCATACTGAGCTATTAATATTTCAATAAAACCCCCCTATTTTCTTCCCTGTAGCAGCAAACCTAAGTACTCATTAATATTAACTAGAGGTCGTCCAGTGGTCGAAACTCGACCAAAAATATGTAATATACTCACTTATGTTAATGTTTCACCCCACACTGTAAATAAAACATGTGATTGGAGTTTCTTCCATTTGTTTTGATTTTATTTTTATATTTCGTTGTTATTTTGTCACCAGCATGGCAACGCATAAGATCCATGTTAATTTTTTCAAATTTTTAAACTCATTTTTTGCGCTTATCTTTGAGCCTATTTAAATTTATAAAGGGATTCTGCACACCTACAGGAAAATAGCTTTCTAACGGTATGCGTAGATTTTCCCTACGATGCACACGAGCTGAGAAAAAAGGTTTTAAAGAAACATGCTTGCCTATTAATATATAGAAGATGATGTTTAAATAGGAAATAAATCTGACAATTTTAAGGGAACAATTTAGTGGAATTCCAGCTGTGTATATGGAAATTCGCTTAGTCTGCAGGTTTGCTGCGGCGGGGGTATTTGTAAATTGGGACTACGACAGCTACTTTCCAATGATTCTTCCAAATGTCATTATTTAATGAGTGAATCTTCCTTAACAATGGTTTTATAAGTTCTACACTAGTAAAATTATGTTTCAGATTACAGAGCTCAAGGCGAAGCACTTCACGTCAGAAGCTGAGCTACGAAATAAGATGAACAATGTTCAAAAGGATAATGATAAAAAAGTGGAAATGCTCCATATGAAAATAAAAACATTACAAAAAGAAGTCGCCACACTGTCAAAAGGCAATAAGAAAGACCGTCTAAAGCAAGAAACCAAAGACGGAAATAGTGGTTCTGGTACAGACAGTCCTAGTATAACATAACATTCATTAATCAATAATATTTATTACAGAGTGTATCGGTGGCTTTCATCGGTACAATTATGAATTTTTTTAAACAAATTTAACTGTATTTTTATATGTGTTATCGAAACAAAGCGGTTATCTAATATTTATCAATTCTTTTTTTATAATTTTGTGTGAAATTCCTTGATGGTCTGTATTTTAAGTATCAGTTTTTGATGGGTAAAAATAGGTTTTACTTGTTGAAAACTGTCTTATGTATGTACAATGTATATTTAATTCTTGTATCTCAGGAAGTGAGGAAGTGGTTTTTAATAAAAATTTTTTAAATCATTCTGGTTGTTTCTTGCATATTGGCCGGATTTAGCATTTTTGCGCCCCTAGGCCCAAATAATTTTCCGCCCCCTAGTCTGGTCACAGTTACTTTCCTTCAAAACCTTTATTAAAAACTATATCATGCCCATAGGCCTAAGTTAATTGCTTGAATACCACTCCTCGTTGGAATCATTGCAAGTTTTTTTTTTTAGAATTGACTTGTTTAGCCTTAACAAAATCCCGTCTTAAACACTTTTAGCAATTTTATGCTTTTTTTTAATAATTGCTCACAGTTGTGGCCGTGGGACTGAAACAAAACAACTGAACCCACTGAGCATTCCTGCAAAAAAACATGGCCATTGATTCCAATTATTCCAGGCCCAAAAGCATGAACTCCATACAGTACGTGACACCATAGATTAAACATACGTACTCCTTTAGTAGATTTGTCATCATTTTGGATTAGCTGAAAACAATTCTTGTTATTTAAAGGGGTTGTTTATCTATGTTTAAATCTAGTTTAACCAAAATAAAATGATCTAATCATCAACAATAGGTCGTCTCCTGTTTATATTACAAGAAATTAAAACACACACCATAGAACTAACCCTAAAATAATAGAAACAAAATTACGTCAAAACTAACGTCCAGTGTCACAACATGAACTACACATGGAAAAATTTTGAATTGACAATGTTATGAGAAGTCGACTTGAGTTATATTTAATCCATGGTCGTACTGCATCTAGGTTATATTTCCAAAGCAAAACAGAGCAATATTCCGGCCAACCGTACTGATCCTTAGGCCTGAGGAGAAAATGACAGCATTACTGTAATGGTTCTTTGGAGGTATTGAATTTTTCTAAAATTGAATGCAAACTGAGATTAATATTTTTTCGTTAATTTTAAAGGTAAATTCATTGTTGTTTTAATATTCAACAAAACTTAGCCTATGATATACTTTAACTTGATCCTGCAAATAGTTGTAAACTAATCAAAAGATTAGTTAATAAATAACTTTTGTTTTGTGATGTGAGGGTGGTAACAATGTCATATCTAGCACACATGCGCCCCTTATCACTCTGATCAGTAGTGCCGAGCCCGACCCAGCATAGTGGCAGTGCAGTGGCAATACGATGCGTACCCCTTGGGCGCTCGTCAACGTCAACATCCCTACAGCCTACTCCCGTATAACCAATGTTCGTTAGCAATTTTGCAACGAAATTGATGCGTAATTCTGAAAATATAGTTTAAATTTCATAACAATTATTTCTTCTTATGAACTTCAGAATCACAATGCTTTGGAGTTTTTTTATCAACTATGACTATTTATTTTTATTTTTAGATAGCCTAGGTATAAAAAAAATACTCCGGCCGTGCGCCCTCTGGGACCTTGCGCCCATAGGCCCGGGCCTATTGGGAAATCCGGCCCTGCATATTAACCTACTTAGCTTAATAAAAAATAACTGAAATATCGTAATTTTTAGTTGTGAAATTATGTTGAACAAGGCTAAGCTAGTCAGGTTTGCCTCATTTAACAATTAAAAATCGTGATAGGCCTATTTAAGTTATTTTTTATTCAATCTTTTTGAACTTGGTGTGGTTTGATACAAAATTTTAAATGCTAAATAAAAGTGTTCTAGATATTTTTTCATAAAATTAGCCATTGTTTAGCGATTTCAATTTAAGAAATCAAAATGGATGCCATTTTGTAATTTTTAATTCGATTAACATAAATCTTTTGTTTAACGTGGGTCTGTTCTACCTTACATACATACCAAGTTTCATAACGATTGGTTGTTAAAATTCAAAGATAAAAATCTTTATGTGGGAAATATGTTATTATTAATTTTCTCCTTATTTACATAGAAAATTTCCCTGATTTGGCTGTTTACTTACGTGACAACCTGTATATCACCCATAATAGCCAACAAAATTCTTAGTTTTAACGGATAGCCTCCGGATTGTCAAGATACAATTAAAGTGGTTTAAATACCTATAATAAATAATCCAAATGGTTGCGCTACAACTAGTTTCGGCTCACAGAGCCATCATCAGGTTTTTCCAAGGACATTGTCGCTTCTTCTGAAGGTCGTCAAAGTAAATAAATATATACAAAACATAGATCACATTTAAAACAAACGGCACGCATGACTAGGCCTAGCTTTAACAACGCAACCAGCAGGAGTTTACGTCTAGACAGTCAATCGCGTTGTTAAAACTAGGCCTAGTCATGCGTGCCGTTTCTTTTAAATATGATCTATGTTTATATATAATGAACTTGATAACCGTCAGAAGAAGCGACAATGTCTTTGGAAATCCACTTTAAAAACAATTTAGCCACTTAGCTACTCAGGTATATTGCTAATAATAATTAAGGTTCACCTAAAATTGCATTTTGAAAAGTTTCAGCTAATCTGAAGGATATCTATATATTTAATAGGCGAACACAAATTTTGTGATAATTGTTTTGAAGCTGCTATGCATCCGATCACCAAGTTTAAGGTGTCGTTGTTTAGGTCGGGGCACGTAGATTTGCCATCTATCAAAAAATCTTTGAAATTCCATTAGGGCTCTGCCCCAGTGGCCTTCAAAGTTCCCATGTTTTTTTTTTTTTTTAAAGAGGTTGGCGGCCTCTTTTAACCTTGCATTTGCCCGTCCACATAGACTAAGCGCCCGTGCGTGGATCGTTTGCAGCAAAGCAAGGAGTGAGCCGGTACAGTACAAAGGTGAACTGTACTGATAAAATGTTAACGGCAGTGACCAGGATCCGAACCCACGACATCGCTGCCTTGGGCCCGAAGTCCGCGACGCTACCGACTGAGCCACCGACTCACTAATTATCCTTATGGAGAAAATGTTTGTTTACATTTGAACAGATGAGTACTTTGAAATTTGCACTAATATTTCAAACAGCTGATTATACTCAAATTGAAATTAATGGAGATTAAGGATTTATTAGATTTGTTGAAAAGATAAAAACTTACTCTGTTTTTTTTTGTTTAAAAATTAGTGTTTCACTGCAAAACTTGTTTATAAAAGTTCAATGAATTTAAAAGTCAACTTACACTATTTGTTGTGATTTTTAAGACCGTTGTTTGACTGAAACTAAATAACCGGATGTTATTTAACGAGTGGATGATGAAAGGGGGTAGCGGATTTTTATCCCCCTGGAATTTTACCCCCTGGGCAAACGTGACGTCACAAACCAGGGGGTAAAATTCCGGCCGCAAACTTTTGAGTTTCGCGACATCAGCTCGATGGATTAAACGCGGAATTAAACATATATTTTCACGGTTGTGAATTTAATCAGAACACATCAAATTATAAAAACCTAGACTGTACGGCCCGGATTTTTACCCCCCGGAATTTCACCCCCCAGAATTTTACCCCCTGGCTAGATATAAAAATTAGTGAGAATGATTAATTATCTTCATTCTGTTTTAATTTAATAGTAAACATTTTATTATTAAGTAGCCTATCTTAATATAGGTTATCTTTATCATTACAAACTATAAATAGCACATGGTTTGTGCCTGAAGAAACAAGAAGGTTGTTGTACAACTGAAACTAAATACATTGTTTTTCATACTTATTAACATGGCCTATTACTAATTACATACTTACTAGTGGCTTGTAGGGGCAATAGCCCCTAAATGTATATTCTAGTAACTATTTTGTATAAATTACATGTATTAGTCTCATGGGTTACCCTACCTTGAATTATCGTTTAACATTTGTGTATGTTAACACTGGTTTTTTTCAAATAAATGCCAACTTTTTTTAAGGTTTGGCCTTGCACTTTATTTATAATAACAGTGAAAGCTGCAATGGGCATTGAATCCTTGTAAACTTAAACGGCATATTAGGATCTATAGATATTAGTTTAATTTTTGGCATGAAAAATATGTTCCCTTTGCCTACTCCAGTAAATACGTCTATCTTTACACTTATTTCAGACATACCTACACAACCAATCGTACTTCAATAAATCCAGACCCTTAAATTTGGGAAAAAGTTTATTTCAGCTTTATAAAATAGTACACATATTACAGTAATGATACATATTACCATATGCTTTAAATAAAGTTAAACCACATGTTTTAAAGTAAACAAAGCAGACATGACCTAGATTCCCATGCTATTTAAATGTGAATTATTTTATTCCGTAGCAACTTTATGGTGCACGATTAAGAAAAATGAATAATTTTCCCCAAAATTTCATGTCCAGACCTTTAAAATGAGACCTCTCCCAGCTTTCTACGGCCTCCCGTTTGCTCACAATTTCATTGTAAAATTTTGGGCGTACGGAATTAGATATATAGATTAACCAACAGTTTGCCCCAAAGGCAAATCCTGAACATCAAAATTAAACAGCGAATTCGTTTGACTTAGTTGAGATTACAAAATAAATAAATAAAGATAGGCCACTAAATAATGAAATGTTTACAATTAATTAAAAACAGAAATAAGAAAACCAATCATTCAATTTCTAAAATCGGCCAGGGGGTAAAATTCCGGGGGGTAAAATTCCGGCCCGAACATTTCAGTTGTCTAAACACTAGTTATATGGACAGGGGGTAAAATTCCGGTTTTTATCGCTAATTGAATTAATCACGCTCTGACTATTTTCATTAGACTTCAAAATCCGCGGGGGTAAAATTCCGGCCGCGAACAAACTTTTGGCCACTCAGGTTACTACGTCATAGTGATGTCAGCTTTGCCCAGGGGGAAAAATTCCAGGGGGGTAAAATTCCGGCAACCCGATGAAAGTGGAAGAAACAATAATTTTTTATCTAGTTTCATCTATTATAAGGGATGGCACCTGCATTTTTTTGTATGATTATTTATGTTGGTGCTCAAGAATAATGATCAGACATTATTGATATAAGTTTAAAACAATATTTTTCATCCCCGAAAATAATATTTGTCTATCATTTCAACCTCTGGATTGTTTATATAATCAAATAAATAGTCAATTCTTTATAGTGGAATCATTTTAGTGTTGAACCCCAACAAAATTGCAACACGAGCAATTTTTTTTTTAAATGATAGCTAAGAGTGCCCTTAATAAGCCCTCAAAAATCGCCATGAATCGTACCTTGGCAACATGCCCTAAAATTCAAAATGGCCGCCAAGATGGCTGCCAAATTATATATTTTGGCATATATCTCGAGAACGGTTAGTTTGATCAAAAACGTTAGTTTAGCAAATATGTAGCTCTTTTAATGCCAATCAGTTTTTATATATGCATTTTGTCTGTCAGACGTATGGTATGGCCGCAATTTGAAGAGCCGTACTTCATTATAATCTGCCTTTTTCACAAAAATTCAGAATTTTCTTTTTTTGATGACTTAATGTTAGAAAATACAAATTGTACCTCAAAATAATTTTAAAGTTGTTTGCCATGTGGTTTCCTACTTATTTTTAGTTTTTACACAGTCGCTTTCTTTCCTTTAGTGCTACAGAGTCGCTGACAGCTTCTTATTTTACTTATCTATTGGTGTAATATTACAACAAATTACAACTTGCTATTCAGAAGTGACAAACGACTTTCAGATCATGTTTATAACATTAAAAAAAATAGATCCTCAATTAGAGAAGATTTAGCTAAATCTCTATTAGCTCTGCACGCCTATACAGGGTGCGACACTACTTCGAGGATTTTTCACATCGGAAAACTATCTGTATTCAACAGAACATTAGAAGACGAGTATTTTCAGGGTCTGCTGTCATCTTTCAGCTCACAAAATCTGAGTCCAGATCAAGTTGAAGAAATCGGTCTGAAACTAATGGTTAGTCTGTTCATTGGGAATAATAACGAATCAATGAACACATGTAGATACAAAAGTATTTTGTCAAAATTAAAAAAAGCTAAAAGCTTTGTAAAGCCTCAGCAACTTCCTTCAACAGAGTCAGCAGTAAAGTTTCACAGTCTGCGTGCCTATTTACAAATTCAAATATGGAAAAGGGCAGAAGATAGTATGATAACTACTGGGGATGGACTTTGCAGGACAACATGTATGTGCCCCAAACGATGGATTTGCCAGCAGCACCAGAGACATTGTTAAAAATGATTAGATGCAATTGCAAGACTCCTTGTAATTTAATGAGATGTGTGTGTAAAAAAATGGATTCAACTGCACTATTTCCTGTGGTCATTGTTTAGAAAACAATAGTGAAAACAGTCTCCAGTTTTCATTGGACAAAGAAAAAGACGATGAGATTAGTATTTTTGAAAATGTTGACTAAACTTTTAAATCATTTGGCCAAATTATGTTAACACTATGGTAAAACTACGTTTATATGTTCATGTTGTACATATTGTATATAGGGATCTTTTTATTTTGTAGTATTGAATAAAATTGTATGATTTAAATAACATATATTTTTTTATTACATATCCATATCCTGGCTTCTTACTTATCCCTTAAAATGGGAGATTATTTAAATCATGCAAAAAAAAATTGTTCATAATCATAAAATCCCAAGTAAAACTGAAAATAAGTAGGAAACCACATGGCAAACAACTTTTAAATTATTTTGACGTACAATTTGTATTTTCTAACATTAAATCATAAAGAAATGAAAATTTTGAATTTTTTTGAAAAAGGCAGATTTTAATGAAGTACGGCTCTTCAAATTGCGGCCATACCATACGTCTGACAGACAAAATGCATATATAAAAACTGATTGGCATTAAAAGAGCTACATATTTGCTAAAATAAAGTTTTTGATAAAACTAACCGTTCTCGAGATATATGCCAAAATATATATTTTGGCATCCCTCTTGGCGGCCATTTTGAATTTTTGGGCTTGTTGCCAAGGTACGATTGATGGCGATTTTTGAGGGGTTATTAAAGACACTCATAGCTATCATTACCAAAAAAATTGCTTGTGTTGCAATTTTGTTGGGGTTAGGTCAAATTTTCTCATAAAATGATTCCACTATTACTATTTACTACGAATATTACGAATTTACTATTTATTTAATAATATTTGATTAAATATTGGAAGGCAGGATTGGGCGGGTCCCAAAATTTCTTGAAAACACTATTGTGTTAATCAGGTATCTTGATATGATATTAGGCTTGATTAAGGAGTGAATGTAGGTAAAGAATTGACTTTTGAAAAACATGTGGAGGAAATGTGCGAAAAAATAAAAGGAGTCTTCGTGAAATTATCAGAAAATACCAGAGCCATTAGAGGCATGACTGGGAAACATTTGACGCTTTGCAAAGGGTGTTGAGCCAGCAATGCTGTACCGATGAGTGTTCTTCGGTAAGGATGCTTGGAAGATAATATTGAAAAGGAAACTTTTGAGTATGCAAAAAAAAAGTTCTTGTAAAATAGGGAAATCATACAATACAGTATCGCATGATACGATTAGGGTTTTGACCAGGATTTTAATTTTTTTTTATAAAGGATTAGGATTTTAGAAGACAAGGAGGTGGGTAGGACTACATCGGAAAGCAAGAGTGCCAGAAGCGAGGAGACATTAGATGAGTGGCAAATGCACTGGGAGCAGAGTGAGGAATAATGGTAAATGTTTTTTGGATATATGCCAAATATCAGAAAGAGACTGCAACATGATTGGGAGATGGGTCATTATGAAACGCAGTTTGTCACAGGACATGGAAATATAGAAGGCAAGTCACATATTTATGAATTGCCCACTTCAGGAGGCAAATAGGAGAGAACAGGAAGAAGTCTCGGATAGGAAAGGTCTAGAGATGAGAAAATAAAACTTGATGAGGGATAAGGAAACAATTGAGACGTTTAGGAAAGTAGCTAGGGAAATAGGAAGAACCAGAGATAAATACAGACTTTTAGATTGAAAAAAGAAAAAACTAGGGAAGAAAAGGAATGAAAACTTCCCCATGAAGGGGAGAGGAAAGATTAGAGCGAAATCCCAATGTTCCCTATCACTCAGGGCGGTAGGGGAAGGGAGTCTTGCTGTTAGGCTCTTGGACACATAATGTGTCTGGACGAGGATTGAAAGTGACTGAAGCCCAAGAAGAAAGATTTTGATGGGGAATTGGACTGGCAAATAAGTCCCAGACTTAAGCCAGGGGTGGGAACGAGGGGCTTTGGTTTATCATTTAGGTTATCGTTGATTAATCAAAAGTGAATCTTTTACTGACATAAAACTTATTTTCTTTACTAAAAAAACCTGTGAAAATGGGACGTAAACTGCAAACTCAATTAGACCTTTTACCATCTCCACTTTTAACAACAAAACCATGAAACCTGAAAACGCCAAATAAAAAAAGATCAATACAAATCCTTCTCCTATGTCTAGATTGCGCACGAATCAGTGTGCCAGGTACGCTACAGTAGTTATCATAAAGACAATAGGCGCATAATGGAATACAACTTATGTTACAGAAAACAACATATTGTATATTTACGAAAGGTACAATTCTACAATAAAAGCGATACATTAATAACGAAGTGGATAGTCACTTATTTCTCTCGGGCTCATAGGCTTGAACATGTCCGAGCCTGTTTGTCTGACTTTGAGTTTTGCTTCCTCTGGGGTCATGGCCTCTTCTGGACTTGGCTCCTTCGGGTTTCCATACTCATCCAGTTTACCCTCTTTAAAATCTTTGGCGATCTTATCTCTGTAGACAGCGATGAACAAGTCTTGGGCTGTGAACTCTGGCTGGTCGAATTCCTTCACTCGGTATGAAACGTACGGCTTTAACTGCAATCGATATAGACTCTTTAGTACCTACAGGATTATGTGTGGGAAATGTAATGGCTAGGTCCCTAATTAAGTTATGTATTTTTGTGTGTGTTGGTAACGCATTAATGTCCTTATTTCTCAGTGTTTCACGGAAAGGAAAAGAGCACCTTGATAATAAAAATGTCAACCTGAATAAAGTGTTAAATTGTGAGGTTGAGGTAGTACCTTAAATACTTTTAACCATTGTGGAAAGTAACTTTCAATTATAGGCCTACCTTAGGGCTACGCCTTGTAGATCTAGATAAAGAATCTTTTAGTTTAATCATTGAATTTAACATATTATGGACCAACAAGATCCGGGTGACATTTTATTGCGAAGCATTAGTTTTGGCTTGAAACTGTCAGATAGGCTACTGTAAGTATTCGCGAAGGTTTATATATAATAGTTTTGTCAGCATATCTGAAAGTATGCAAACCAACTGCTGTGCTTAATATAAGAAGGTTTTAACTGACTACAATAAGAACCCCGTGCGTAGAACGGGCACACAGCTAGTATTAGATAATTTATTAAAATATTTACACAGTGTACCTTAAAATAAGCACTTCCGAATGTCTTTAGATGTTAAGTTGATGCATGCATTCAAATGGTTCGTCCACATGGTAGGCCTACTATCCATCCCAAAATTTTTTGCTCTTGAAAAAATCAAACTTCCCAACAATGGTAGAATTGGAAGTGATGTTGGTTACCGATTAGAAACTTTTGTTAGGTTGTAACACATATGATTCTCAATGAGAAACATAATTAACTCAAAAGAGGTGTTTGTTAAAGTTTGATGATAAAATATATATGTTGATTGGCTTTTTTATCTGATACAGTTCATAAAAAATATAGGTAACTTATTTTCTTGTTTAACTATTTCAAGTTTGCTTATATGATTGTAAAAAAAATACTTCCAGCACAAAATATTGTGACTGAAATATCAAAGGATTAGAATTAGCAATAATAAGATGATCAAATAGGGTAGCTGTAATTTACTCAAAAAGCCATCTAACTTAGTGTTCTTATCGCTGGCGATAAAGATGCATACATTAGAGCCAGACAAATATTTGAATAACTCTTTTAACCATAGTTACTATTTCTTACATAGCCTACAGTTTCCATTCCCATGTTTCTCAAATTAATTGTGAAAGCATGAAGTCTGTACATACCTTGCAGTCAGTAAGATCAGGAACAACAATTTCAGGTATCATCTCGGGCACTTCAACAAATTTTCCTGTGTTAACGTCCTTATAGCCAGTTTCTCTGACGCCATAATCTGCAACAATAAATACAAAATTGATAAATTTACTAAAAGAATCACCTTAATTTTTTTAGTTCAAGGAGTGCCACTAATCTTTTTGACTTAAAACAGCAATTGAAAGTAATAATTTTGAGGAAAATATGTACTGTCATTGCGATGTTAATTTTGAGAGACGAAACTGTAGTTGTGCAATGGCGGGTGTTGCCAGGTGTACAGGGTGGGTTGAAAAAAATCAATAATTTTTTTGAGTTCTAATACCTTGGCAAAGTTGCTAAATTGTAAGACCAAAACAGGATAAAAATATAAAAAATATTGGTTTTTATCTTCCGGTCACGCATGTGCTCTAAAGTTTCAAAAATAAATAACTTAAATTATTTTAGGCTATCGGAAATTTTTACAATTTTCAAATTTTTGATTTTCAATATGTAATAGTTTAAAATGTCGTCTACAAGACACTAAGAAATTTATATTTAAATAATAGTATTGTATGTTAATATCTTCCGGTCGCACATCGGCTGCAAATATTGCCAAAAAACGAGAAAAACGTCATTTTGTACTAGTCTTTTTTTAAATATAATAATCGATATAAAAATGTAATACCGAAAATCTGTTTGTACACATTCAGAAAGTAACTTAACAAAAACAACAGACGATGTTAGAATTGATCTTCCGGTCGTGCATAGCAATAGAAATTCACTTTAGCGCGGCACATTTGGGTCAGTGACCCGGGTGACGCCATGTGATTCCGAAGTTGAACAACAGGATAGTGATGATAATGTATCCTGGGCTCACAAACACAGAAAAAAAATTTCGATTCTAGTGACAGCAACCAAGAATCTTTATATCATCCATTGTATACCACTAGAAAAATGTGTAAATGTGTACAAAATAAGCTACTCCCTCTTATCTGGACTCCTCGCAACGGAGGCCAGTCTGAATGATGGTTTTCTTGTTAAACAGACGTACCCTAAAACTTGTTATAGGAATTTGCTACCAGTACCTTAACGTTCAGTTTAAACGTTCACGACCTTAATTTGGAATATGCATTGCATGAACACAACTAATGTGCATGCCACGGGATTCACTCGAAAACAAACCCAAGTATTTTAGGCTACTTAAATTTGGAAGAGCTTGTATTTAGAAACGTGATCATTGGTTTTAAAACTTTCCCTTGAGAAAAGTTGTTACAGTACCGCTCACTTTCTGCCGGTCCATATACATACCCCTTTTAGGCTACAACGACACAATTCAAGAAAATTAATACTGGTATAGGCTAACTTAATGTGATGATGGTAGGCCTAAGCTTACATAAATAAATGCAACTAGGTGTACCCTAAAAGGCGATTAAATGAGTGGACTAAGTTAATAAACACGCAATGAAGGCATACCTAGCAGTATACTTTTTGTATTGGGGGTGTCACTAATTATTCTAATTCATGACTGGGCATAGTCCTACTTACTGTAGTATGGCACATCTGGATATGGATCAGTTTTCATTTTCTCTTGAAACGCTTTAGTTCCTCTCCTATGTAGCATGAATTTCCTAAAATTCCTTTTTCCGTTGCATTGCGATGACAGTGAAAACATCCTCGCAAAGGAAATATTAAATTTTGTTACTGATGCCATTCTCAAAATCCCGAGAGTGCCTCTGTCCAAAAACATCACAAAAGCCAAGGCAGTAAATTGGATTTTTGATGAAAATGGAAATCTAACAAACTAGTGTCTAAATATAACGGCGGTTTCTTTAAAAATATATTTTAGTACATAGATAAAATAAACAGCATAATTCAACTTTCACTTAACCTGTTATTGTATTGACTATATTGACATAACGAACGACATGACATAACCTTAAAAAAAGTTTATAAAAAATAAACAATCAGCTGTCAAGTGCTCAAGTGTCATCTGAAAAAAAAAAGATATAGCGAAAAAAGAACAAACATGCGTTCAGGACTATAGTACAGAGGAATAACTTAGTGGTTAGTGATATCATAGATTAAACATGCGTTGGTTAGTCAATGGTGATATGCACAGTGGCACTTCCGTATAATATAATGTATTTATATGTATAATAATAATATAATCCCACCTAAGAAATTTACCAATGTTATTAGCAAGTGGCTTAGAAATAAAGATATTTTATACCACGAAAGAATATCTAAGCTGTGACACTAAAGTTATTATCTGTTGACTTTTATAAATACTTTGACGACACTAATTGTACATTGTATTTAATGTTGAATAAAATTATGATCCTTGGGAGTCATTTTAAATACGGTGGCTTCTCACAAGCAGGTTATATAACTGGTTAATTTATTATTAATTAAACAGTTTTAGATGGTCAATCAATCAATTTCAATTCAATCAATTATTTAAGATGGGGACGCCACTATGTGCGTATTTGAACCCAAATATGAGTGAAGGATGAGTGTAAGATGAGTGGTGCGATCTTGTAGTCTTGTTAGTGACTAAGGCCGACATGTTCCTTAGACACAGCTGTTAATTAATAGCCCATACAGCTAATGGCAACTTAGGGACCTACAGTTTATAGTGGAATCCGAACCACATTTTTTCGGTTATTTACAAGGCCGGTAAGAGCCGTAACGGGCCCCTGGGCTCAGCGATCCCGGGCCCCCTATCTTTCTAATTTAGTGTCCAGCCGTCTCCGTGCCAGTTTGTTTCACAAATAACTATATCGAAAATGTTTGCTCACAGTTGCATTAACAGTCAAAACAATTCAAATCAAACATTACCTAGTGACCTGGAAAACCATGCTAACATTTTTAACTCAAGCAGATTACATGTACAGAAAAAAATTTACATCTGACCGGGCCGGGCCCCCTTCAGAGTCCCGGGTGCCGGGGATCTAGCCCCCCCCCTGCCCCACCTTCTAGCCAGCCCTGGTTATTTAGTAACAAAGTAGACGTCAAAACACACTCTATCATATTCCTCGGGACAGGAAAAAAACTCCAAACTAATTCTCATTGGCCCATCCATAACAAGGCTGGATAAATCTAAAAATACGGTGGAAATCATGAATCTATGGTTAAAGAGATTCTTTTTCCTACTTGAGTCCTTGAGCGTCAATTGCAGAAAGTTAGTACCTGCTTCTTTGTATACAGCTCTGAAACATCAGCTGGCATCCACATTTCTACAATGATTTTAGTCCATCGTACCCCTATCTGGGGATTAGCTATATCAAAAAACAAACTCTTCAAAATTCAAGTGATTCAAAACAAAATTCTAAGAAAAGCGGTGAATGCTCCCTGGTTTGTTAGAAACAGGCATATACATGAAGAACTAGGAGTGGAGTCTATCTCGGCCTTTATTGAAAAAACCACCTAAAAATTTCTAAAATCTTTAAACGATGTTCCTGCTGCATTAACTTTTCATCTTGGTGAAGCAACTGAGAACAGGAGGCTACGTCGAAGGCTCCCTCAAGATCTATTGGAGGAATAAAGCCTAAAGAAGATTAAATAATTCTCTAAATTAATTATGTTCAAAAAATCAGATAAAAAAAGGTTAGGATAGAAGAGTCATCTGAAAGGGAAAGAGCCCATACTCTGATAAATGAAACACTAAGATTTTTGTGTTTGTGTTTATTTTGCCAGAGTGGACACTTTCCCATTCATCCTGATATCCTAGCAAACATCCTCAATACAATTGTGAAAAGAGTAATAGTAAGAAAACCTTACCTATATGTACGTGTTCCTTACATAAAAGTTATGCGATTAAGGTAGGTAGCCTATAGCAGATTTTCTAAGCTCACCTAGCTAGGTCGATGCAAGCTTGTTGACCGCCTGTTAAGCGCATCAACACCACGATCACCATGTGGTAGCTGGGAAAGGTACAAAACACTTATCCGCAGTGCTCAATTTATAAAGAAATGAGATGCCAGAACTGTAACCTATCTAATGTGATTATAGTATCTATTTATGATGATATTTTTTATCTTTCCGAAAGAGAGGTAACGGTACGCCGTTCCGCCGCAAATCAGGCATTTCTTACGTGTATACTTGTATTTATTTATTTATTTCCCAACGGATTGCACCTTTTTACAAAATATGTGTAACAATTTAGATGGCATTTGCAATATTACTAACTAGAAAAGTAATAACAATGGTAATAACAAAGTGATAATAAATAGTAATAGCAAGTAATAACAAATAGTGATAACAATAGTAATAACAAATAGTGATAACAATAGTAATAACAAAGTAATAACAAATATTAATAACAGAAGAATAAACTAAAAAGAGTATCAACAAAGAACATGAACAGCAAGTTTCAGCGATGAGAGGACAAATATGCAGATGTGCTGGAGTGTGGTAGCTCAAGTGATCAGGGAGACCTTCTTTTTGAACCGGAGGGGCTTCTCACCGAAGAAATCCAGTTGAGCAGCCGCCGTGCTACCAGCTTTGAGTAGACGGCTAATTCCGCTGTTGTAAGAGTAGTAGGCTGGGAGAAAGCGTCTGCTGAATATAGTCCTGGAGCGGGTGCCTCTGGGCGTGGTAATGTCGATACCACTCAGGATGTTGGGGCAATCGACAAACCCGTTAACCAGCTTGTAGAGCATGAATATGTCGGCATGATGACGTCGGAGTGACAAAGGCAGAAGATCGAAGGACTTCTCCACATCGTCAACCGGGGTAGTGCGGTAGGTAAAACCAAGTCTCGGTCCAAGCATCCGTATGAAGCGGGTTTGTATGCTCTCCAGTTGGCTGACGTGGTTCTTCTGGAAGGGAGACCAGATGATTGACCCATACTCCAGCAGCGGGCGTACCAGGGACTTGTAGAGCGTGATCAAGGTGAAGGGCGAGTTGAAATTCCTTGTTGATCTGAATATGAAACCAAGCAGGGAGCTAGCTTTGGTTGTAATGTGGGCAATGTGCTCGTGAGGGTTGAGCGAAGGGGTCATTGTCACTCCGAGATCTCGTACCCTTTCCACTCTCTTCAGTGTAGAACCATTGAGGACGTAGTCATATTGGACTGGGGCTGCACCACGTTTGTAGGAGATGACGACACATTTCAAGACGTTGAGCTCCATGAAGTTTTCCTTGCACCAGGCGTCGATGTTAGTGAGAGAAAGTTGGAGGCGCTCAAAGTCAGAAGCCAATGACACCGAGCCAAATACCTTAATATCATCGGCAAACATGAGAAACTTGGTGAGGATGACGTTGCCAATGTCATTCATGAACAGGTTAAACAGCAAGGGACCGAGGTGGGACCCTTGCGGGACTCCAGATAGGACACTGAATGGCGTAGAAAGGCACCCGTCGTACTTGACTACAAGGGTTCTGTTGGTCAAGTAGCTGTTTAACCACTCAAGCAGGGCCCCCCCCCACACCATATCCGGCGAGCTTTGCCACAAGGATGTTGTGATTGACCTTGTCAAAGGCTTTGGAGAGATCAAGGTAAACACAGTCAACTTGGAGAGCATCGCCAAAAGCGGCCATGACGTATTCTTGAAACTCCATCAGGTTTGTCACTGTTGAGCGTGAGCGCAGGAAGCCATGTTGAGAGGAGGAGATACATTTACGGAGATGAAAATAGAGGTAGTCCAAAACAATGCTCTCGTACACCTTGGCAACAGCAGAGAGAATGACAATGGGCCGATAGTTTCTGACATTTGAACGATCACCAGATTTGAAGATGGGGACGACAAAGCCACGCTTAAGGGCCGATGGGAAGTTTCCAAGTGAGAGCAGGGATGTAAACCAGATAGCCAGATGAGGAGCCAAAATAGGGGCACAGTATTTAAGAACGCACGGAGGAATAGCATCAGGACCGGCTCCCTTATTTGGGTCAAGCGAGGCAAGTTTGAGTTGAACGTCTGAGGCTGTGATGACACATTTAGTGATGGAGAAGTTCCAGCCAAAGTCGAAGACAGGCGAGGGAATTTGGTTCTCCGTGAAGCCGGATGAAAAGTAGTTTGAGAATAGTTCGCACTTTCCGGCAGCACACTCAGCTTCTCTACCATCAAATGATAGTTTAGCAGCAGGGGATGGACTGCTCTTGAGTCTGTTGACGTGAGACCAAAAAGATTTTATGTTATGAGGAATGTCGTCTTCAATTCTTTTTAAGTAGTCTCGATGACACTTGGTGGCTAAAGACTTGCACTGGCTTCTCAAATTGCGAAAACTTTCACGATGACGAAGATTTCCTGAGGTTTTAAGAAGTCGATGGGTGGCCTTCTTCCTTAAGACAAGTCGTTTTAGCTCCTCGGTAAACCAGGCAGGAAAGCTTGAGGATTGAAGCTGTTTTGTGGGTGTATGTTGAGATATGATTGAACCAAGGTGGTCGCAGAAGTCAGAGAAGGCAGATTCGACATCAGGTAGAGAAGAAGGTGAAGGATAGTTAACGTTCTGCAGATCACGAAATACAGCGTCCAAGTTGCATTTTCTGAAGTCAGGTACGATCCTGACGTCCCTCGAGGCTGAGCGTTTCTGCAGCAGGATTGAGCAGGAGAGCGCAGGGTGATGAATGTCTTCGGCAACAAGAAGGTCGTCAGCGCGGATGACTGCAGTTGTAGGAGTAGATGAAAAAATGAGGTCCAGGTAGACACCTCTGCGATTTCGGATTTTGTTGATTTGGGAGAGGTTGTGAGTATAAGCTAAGTTGCGTAGGTAGTTTGAAGAGGAATCGCCTTCGCAGGAATCAAGCTCACCCCAGTCCGCTTCAGGTTTGTTAAAATCACCGAAGAGAAGCACATCATCCACGAAGTTAGAAGATGAGAGGATATCCTCCACCACGTCACAGAAGTCGGCATAGACGATGGCAGGCTGGCTGGGGGGGATATAGACAGAGCCCAACAAGATGCGACGGGTTCCAGAAGTACAGGTAACAAAAACGCATTCCGAGGAGCAGGCATGCAAGGGGACAAGTTGACATGCTAGGTGATCACGTACTGCTATGAGAGTACCACCACCACTGATCTTATTGCTCGTGGCCAAAGATCTGTCACATCTGAAAACGTTAAAACCAGTAAGGCCAAGTTCTGAAGAGTTCATGTCAGGTAAGAGATTCGTTTCAACCAGGGTGATAATATCGTAGGAGGAAGTTGTAGCACTGATTGAGAGTTCAGAAATTTTGCTTCTTAAGCCATTCACATTTTGAAAATAACAACTGAGGTGATGCGGTGCGCCGTTGGGAATTATTCGTTTTTTGAATTTTTAACAATTTGGGGGATGTTGTTTAGGAACCTTATGGTGAGATCCTTTTCGCCACGGGTGGTGCGTTCCTTTAATTCGGCATTGAGGTTTTGAAGGTGGGCGGCTTCACGGGGAGTTCTGTCTCTGGATAGCTTGACGGAAGAAAATCGTGGATTCAAAATGGTCCCAGAGCTGGCAAAATTCTTCATTGCAGTGATCACATCGGAATTGCTGCCAAGCACAACTTTAAGAGGCCGAGGTTTGTCAGGTTTTTTACCACCAACACGGAAAGTTTTGATCCCATTGTTAGAGAAATTAGGAATGAGGGTTGAGAAGAAGGAAGTGGCCAATTCCAGATCATGTTTTTTCCTGGCATCAACATCACCCACAGATGATTCTTCCAGATTGTAGATCATTAAGTTTTTAGCGCGGCGGGTGCGCTCGTTTAGCTCAGCTATGGTAGTTTCCAGATCTGTGGAGGGGGATGCATTTTTGTCTTTTGATTCAAGCAGGGATACCCTGACCTCGATTTGATCCACTCTAGGTTCTAGTGCTGACAATCCAGTACGAATGGTAGCAACTTCGTTCTTTATATCAGCTACATCATTTGAAATGGTATCAATTTTATTTACTTTGTCTAGTAGAGTATCAAGTTTGCCCAGTACCGAGGACATTTGGGAGGTGAGTAATGCGAGTGGTTGGTTGGAAGTGTTCACACAATCTGTTCTGGTGCAGTGCCATTTTGCGTTGGCATTTCCAGAAATCCGCTGGTACTCTGTTTTGCTCATAGCAATGCAAGTCCTGTGAAACCATCGTTGACAGGGGCCATCGCAGCTGACGCCTTCCTCGGTATCAAAGACTTTTTTGACGCAAATAGGGCAGGAGGTAGACATGATGTAAGAGAAGAAACACGGCTCCCCAGTGACCCGACACTTGTTATAGTACTGCCTGCGCAGATCTAGAAGGCTGTGGATTTTGGACGTCCAGAGATTCCCCTGTGGCGACAGGTTTGGTCACAACGAGAACGGTGGAAATGGAACGAAAGATGGGCCTAGGTTTGACGATGGGTTGATGTTTGGATGGTTATTGCAGGGCAGATTGTTAATTACTTGACGAGTCCCATCAACATATAAACTCACTGTAGTTTGTTGTGCAAAACTCCAGCGGAGCCGAGCAGCCAAAACAAGGTAGGTGACAAGAAAATCAAAAATTAAGCGGAGTCATATCACAGTAACACTTTAAGTCTGCCATCTTGGTTTTTTTTTTTTTTTTGTATTGTCAGTCCACAGAGAACTGAGGTACGGATTAAACATTCGATGGTACAGTACTAAGTGCTATGGTGTCTAGCACACTAATGCTGGTGTCGAGGGTGAAGTCCGACACCGCCCTGTCACCCTTTGTGCAAATCTGTACAAACAGTAAAAATCGGCTCTCCTGCTCAGTAGCTGGATTACTTTATATGTATAATATTGTGGTACAATACCTCGTCAAGTAATCCAATTGTTAATTGTCCAGAGTATATTATAGTATTATTATACTCCTATAAAGTTATACAGTAAGAATAAAACATGGAAAATCAGAAGTTTAGATTCTATATATTTAGCAGTAGAGTTGATTTTCTGAAACCAAATTAGCATTTAAATTAAATTGGATCTTAAGTTTTATCACCATATATCCCATCATCACTAGTTCACCATTCCTTTCAAAACTTCATAGAGTATGGTCAACACAATTTTTAAACATATTCTTCGGTTCTCTCGAAATTTGTCTTTCACTTAATTTGTTGGGTCACTTTCACAAAGTTGGGTTAATGCACCAATTTATATCTGTTTGCATCATTTTCTTAGTCTTTCAGAGTTTGACTGTACAATATTGTCTGAACACTCTTCAGGTTGGTTGCTTTTCTTTCAACAGGTAATCTCTTTTTGTTATCGCCACTCTGTGAGCTTTTGTATACATTTAGCTCATTAGTCAGCCAGATACATAATGAGAAATTCTGTCCAGAAATACAATATACAATGAGCAAGTCGTCTATCTTCATTCCCCCCACCCCTCCTGCCAGCTGCTCAGACTAAGGGAAGTAGATGTAGTCATTGATGGTAAATTTCTCGTGGTCTCCCTCAGCAGTCACTTTTTGAGAGTCTCTGGGCAGATCTTCTACCACAACTCTAGAGGTCAAACCAGTCCTCCACATCTTGTGTGCAAAGAGTCCCAAACTAAACCCTAACAACACCTCCTTAACACACCTACTGATGCACACGGACATACCTTTTAGTTCTGGTTACTGATGTCTTAGCTATTTACAGGGATATGGTGCTTTTGTATTGGGGATTTCCTTTCTAGTCTTGAATTCAGAGGTCCTCTATAGTTGTTGGATTAGACTTATTTTCTTGCTTGAACTGTTTTAGTCACAGGTCACTAGTTTTGTTATTGAAAGATTACTAAAATTTTAAGCAGTGTTCTTTTTAAAATTTAATAGGGTAATTCAAAACAGATAAAAATGTTAGAACTGTTTTGAGCAGGTGAGCATAAAAAATAACAGGTGTACAAAAACCTTTTGTTTTTTATTGTTATTAATTTTTTTTAGATATACAGTATTGAGTTAAGAAATCTTTTGTGCTGAGTCAAACTTTTTTGCATGAAATATATGATTTGAAAATACATTAAAGAACAGAAATTATGTTTGTTAATGACATCATCCTCTGTTTCCACATAATGTCCAAAATCTCAACAGACGTCTTTGGCTCAAGTGCATGGACAGTCCTGGCCTTCCACAATCACCTTCAATTGGGCAACATAAGCAGCTTTGTATTTTGACTTGCCCAGTTCAGGAATGCATTCCTATGCCTGTTAAACTAATCAGTCTTCTCCTGCTTAGCCTTGGCATCCAAGACTTAGGGAAATGATTAGGTACGTCTGAAAGCTCTCTGCCACTGACTCTTTTCCGGAATCTTATCTTAAGGCGGATTGCGAGTGGCTGTTTTTGCCGTGGCTCTGCTGAAGCAGCAACTACGTCCAAGAAGGGCCATGACGCAGCAGACTTATAAGACTGTAAAGAACAGGTGTCTTACTATTAATGTAAAAGAAAACAGGTGCTGTGTGCAATCCTTATTAAAAGCCTTCAACTTCCACCAAAAGCCGGATACAGATAATTTAAAGTGAGCCCTCCACTCCAGCTAAGCCACACGTTAGTAAGCTTAATGTATGGACTGCACATGTATGAAATTCGAACCTGTCCATGTAGGAAGACCACAACGCTACACTCGTCAGCAACTGTGCCTTAGCCAACTGAGTTACATATGACTGTCGGCCGAACGGGATGATTACCACTATAAGCATAAGACAACACTAGTGCTTACTGGTTGGATTCGACTAAGTACTTGAGCACCAATGGGTTAACTATATTGGTAGGTTAGATTCGAAAGTGTTCAGTGCGCATGCACTAGGACATGGATGCCATGGACGTTTCAGAAAAGTCGCTCTCCGAGCGATTCACACAAGACTGTTGCGGACGCCCTTGACGCGCGGTGTGAATGGTCTCATAAGATAGTATAGGCAGCGATTTGTTAAAACACAATCTGCAGTTTTGGTTATGGGACAAAGTAAGGTTAATGGGATTGGAAAACTTATAATAACAATAATAAAAGTGTATTTTTTGGTATTGACATTGTTTCGTTGAATCTCTGTAGTTACCGTGCATTTTATTCAACTTTAAGCCACGAGCTTTCATAATCTCTGAACCAGGTTGTGGTGTAATTAGCTTGCACTTTATTCAACTTGACACCATGAGCTATTAGTTTCTCAGCAGCCTCCATCATCACCGGAAGGGGGTCAAGACCTGGAACAGTAAAACAGCCAAAACGTAAGTACTAATAATTAAGTTAAGCAGAATCATGCAAAAAGCTTTAACAATGTCAACACTTTTTTTCATAATCAATCATTTCACAAAATTAAAATTTGAATCAATTTTATTTTCTTCAATAGCCTAATTCTTGAAAACACAGTTTTCAAAATGTTGAATTCCTTAGGAATCCAAGATCTGTCCAAGGAATCCAAGTTGACCAAGTTTGATCAAGATAATTCTCTTGATCAAACACAACTTGAATAGCCAAACTAGTTTGAATCAGCAGCCTTTATAGGGGAGGTGAAAACAAGCAATAGTGTTTCAAGACCTTTATCTATAGACAGTATATTTTTATTTGGAGTGTCAAGGGATCCAAGAACAAATATGATGTTGTGTGTTGTGAAGGTTATTTATCATACTCCCAGTACAATTTCTCATGGCAAGGGAATTAGATGTACTTTAAAATCATGGAAATCACACAATGGGTTTGAATAGCAATCACAACAAAAACATTCATGATGGGTTGACTGGATCATCAAAGTAAACAAATAAAGGTTTATTTTATCTGTGTTGCTGACTAAACAATATATTGTTGCCGGCTCGTGACAGTCGCAACTTATACCTTATATCTTGTGCATAATCAGCATGGTCAACCAAATTATAAATGCAACACATTTATGTTTGTTGTATTCGATGATCTTTACTTTAAAACTTATGATGAACTCCACAATGAAGGATTTGTAAATAAAGAACTCTGTGCTCCAGCATAATAGCTCAGCTTGCCTAAATAGATTGTTCCTACAAAGGTAAACTAAACCTTTATTCGTCAACAGTTCTCTCCTGTTAAAGCGATCCATATTTTGTTAAATCAATACAATTCGGGTTGCTCACTGATTCATGAGTTATTTACTCAGTCTGATTACACTTACGTTCAAAGTTTCCAATGAAAGCAATGTCAATGACATCTCCTTTGATGGCGAACCGCATTGCGTCCGGGTGCCAGTCCCAGCCTCTGCCTACATAGACGGTCCCCTCGGTCCCAATCATGAAGCTGCAGACACCATCAACTAACAGAAAATCACCTTAGACAACATTATGAGAGTTAATGATGATGGAATCAGTAATACAGGACCGTGAACCACTGATTTACGATGATGCAAATTACAAATTTGTGTAGGATACACACATCACTTTTTTAAGCCACCAATAGGACAATGTATTATTTACTAGTATATTTCACGTCCCATCAACTACCACAGTGACAAAAATTAAGGAGAAAGTAAAGACATTTTCACCACACTAGGTACAAGGTGTTTAATTCGACTTTCCACACATGAAAATAGTCCAGAAAAAAGCTCCTTGCCTCTTGCTTCAAATGAGGTTTCATTACGTATTGTAATGAGTTTTTACCTGACACCAGCTGATCATAATTGGAAATAAGTCAACAAATCAATAAACAATAGTTATTTGTGTAACTAGTGGGTAAAGTGGCACTTTGCTGCACACGAGAGCAATGTTTACGCACGAGCCGCAGGCGAGTGTGGAATGATCTCGAGTGCAGCAAAGGCCTTTTGTACTCGTGTTACACATTATATTTTTCCTACAGTCACTATAAAGCATATAAATAATTAGTCTTTCAAACACTATACAACACGTTTTTAGGTTCAGCTGGCAACACAAATAGGTGCCCTAGAGAAAGTAGTTCCGGTCCGTTTCCGTATCACTCCGCTATTTTTCCTCGGCAAGAAATGTGCTCCGTGTTTTGAGAATATAGTTCCGTATGTTTTTGTAATTTGAAGTGGTTTCCGCGCCTTAAAAAAATGCTTTAAAGGTATTTTCTTGTTTATTAAGATCGTAGGAATGTCTTAAAAACGTTTAAAAGAAAAGTTCAGAAATACCGAAACTATAAACACAAAATTACAGGTTAAAATCGTAGTTATAATAGTCAATCAGCTGCTCATAGTATTATTATCTTTAAGTGTTGCCAACCAATTTCCAAGCGTACACGGATTACGTGCATAATAGAACCACGCTGTTTTGTGTTGTTTCGTTGGAATCCTGATGTGCAGCAAAGTATAAACCGTACGACAAAGTATAAACCGTACGGCAAAGTATAAATATGCAGCAAATAGCAGCTTTCTGTTCTATAAACAGTACAAGGAAGCCAACTTTGTCAGGTGACTGTAGGAAAAAATAATATCTCTCTTAGAAGTTATGAGTAGTGATTGCCAAGTCCTTTAGTCATTCGGAATATATAAACGGATTTGTACAGTTTAAACAACTATTTTCCAGACTAGTAACATAATATATTATACTCAAGTATACTTTGTGTGTAGCTAATTAGAGTATGTTCTTTTTTAATGAAAAATTGGCTACAGCTGGTTTATAATTGGGATGTCTATTACAGCATCCAACAGTCAAAACTACAGGAGGGTGTATTTTGTAAGGCAACCCAAATTAAGTACACACTTTTTAACGACAAAACCAGTTCATATGTTGGTATCCCTGTTAATGTTTACATAAAATTATGGTAAGGTATCCCTGTTTTCTTTTCTTCATTCTCAGTATCTCACAGTATTTGTAATTTGGGTTGCGTAAAAAAAAAAAACTCTGAATCTGACCTTAGTACTATCCACTGCAGTAGGGAAACTCACTTGTGGGTGATGTCAGGATATCCACCGTCTTGATGGTTCCACTGGATCTTGCGCAATCTTGTCGTACATTCCTCCAAATCATCACACATTAGAGTGGCTGTGTCGTTGAGGAAGATGTTCTTCACAGGATTCTCTAGATGCAGCAGTGGGTCGTCTGGAAGACCCATCACGGCAGGCTCAGCACGCCATTGCTCTCTCATTACTATGTTCAACTCTGGAGGGTAGATTGGTAACGCTTTTTGTTCGCTGCAATATTTTGATAAACTACACTTAGCTGAATGAATGGTGCTTTCCTCAACAGAAAGAGTAGGATCAAGAGGAAAGTCAGCTGATTTTTGTTGATTCTAAACTAGACCTAACTCTCCTAGTGATGTGAACCACCAACAGATTGCACTGATCTAAATTACAATTTATAAACTACAATTTTAAATGACTTTGAGGATTTTCATTTTCAACATTACCTGCATTGACAATCTCAGCGCCCTAAAGTTTCCACTTTAACATCTTTAAAATAATATGTCAAGGCTCAAATGTTATAATAAAAAAATATATATATATATCTTTTAGTTTATTGATCTAACTAAGTTATTTCACATCCTTCATTTACAGGGAAACAGATTTGTAAACCACCTACCATGCTGTAGCAGAAGAAATTGCGTTTTTGAAGAATGATTTAAAAAATCCTTGAATAGCTTGCATTGTTCACGGTTTGTTAAGAAGCATCACTAGCCAAGTAAATAAATTGTATGGCATTCCTCTTATCATTCTTCTTTATTGATAATTTCAATAATTCATCCATAATCACACTTGTCTGTAGATAAATTGCTTGTTTACCACAATATTTTAAAACAATGTGTTTGTATAAAGTGAGTTGCGACTTTTTTTATAGAAGAAGGTGTTGAATATTATTTTATGAGAGGATGTTCATTCAATGAATGTAAAATGAGATTAAAACCAAAAAAGTCTAATGTATAAAGTAAATAATTTATTTTTATTTTAATAATACAGAAAATAGTAACCTAAAAAAGAAAAATCCTTAGATTCAAATAAACATAACATCATATTGTTCATACAACTCCCTTAACTTTGTGACTTTAGGTTTGAGCTTTCTACCCATAATGCCTTTTAATTTTCTTTCGCCTATTCCAGCAAATCCCTCGTCTCTGAACCAAGTCTCCTTATATTTTGGACTTATTTTTCTGCTTTTGATGCCAAAGTCCAAAAGCTTATAGGCAGTTCCCACTTGGATTGGCAGGGGGTATTTATCGTGATCTGAAATTTGTAAAATAAAGTTTATGTTAATATTACCTATATAAAAATTAACTATTTGATTATATTTTTATTTATCAGAGAAATATGTGATTGGATGATAAGGCTCTTAAATGAGGCTTTCTTAAGTGTAGTAATTTTATTTGAACCAACATTAAATAGAAGTAAGTAAATCTTTTGAATTACCAACCACCATGGGCACCATGGACCAACTTTGAAGAATTTTAAAAGAGTTTTTCAACTTTGAATTGTCCATAGTTGGTTACTACATCCCTCCCCCAAGAAGTCAAAATTTTGGCAGCGAAGAGGAAGACAATTTATGAGTAATCTGGAGATGACGGGACCAAGCAAGAACAGAGAAGTGCACACGACTCGGCAGGAGACTCGGGAGGCTGGGACCAGCCGACCAGTGGACCAGGCAACGACTGATTCAGTAAATCAAACCTTCTGGTCTTACAGTATCTATTCAGGATGGGCGAGGTCGTGTAACCTGTTGGCATATACTGCTCACACACTCACGATGACATGAACACACTTTCTTTTGCTGCCCATGTTGGGAAAGGGCATAGGGGACTCAAACGCACTGTAGGACTGCTGTCGGTAGACACGGTCATGCTGATGATGATGGAGGTGAATCGGTCCTGTGTGTCACAGTTTGTTCAGGGTATTCTTCTCTCCTAGAAGCTTGACCAGTCTTTGTCATGTTCTGTTAATACTGTTCTATGAAATGGCGACCATACATAGTAGGTATTTTAAGCCAAGTATGAATGGAGATGAGTGTAGGATGAGTGGCGCGATTTTGTAGTCTTGTTAGTTTTACAGGACAAAGATCCACATTTTTAACTCCAATGTCAAATCCGTCCTCCTGTATGCCAGCAAGACTTGGAAGATGGACAGAAACAGTACCTCACAGCTCCAGGTTTTTGTTAATCGGTACCTGCGGTGCATATTAAGAGTGTTCTGGACAAACAATATCTCACATGAGCAGCTATGGGAATGCACAGGGCAACAAAAGATAGACATAGATATGCAAAGGAGGAAGTGGAAGTGGCTATGACACACCCTTCGAAATCCCGATGCTGCCATTGAGAATAAGGCGTTAGAGTGGAACCCTCAGGGGACACGAAAGAGAGGAAGAACTTGCGGCACCTGGAAAAGAACAGTGGAGAAGAAGTCTGTGAGCATATGAAGAACTTGGGGTCAGCTGAGGGACTTGGCGCAATATAGGGTTGGATGGCAAACTCTTCTGGATGCCCTATGCTCCTAGCAAGGAGCTACAGGAGATAACTTAAGTAAAAATAAATTGTTGGTTACTATATGACCGAGCCAAAATTTTTGTACGGATCACTTTATATGTCCAGGAGGAGAATGTGGGGAAAAAGCTAGAAGAGTATAAGAGCTTTATCTGCTACACTTAACTATAAGGCAACCACAAGAAAAAATATGTAAAATTATGTAAAATTTAAAACACCAGATTTATTTTTTATATTCAAACACTTACCCATGTAGAATCCAGTAAATGCAATGTCTATGCATTTGTCTTTGTTTTTCCCCCAGAGATGGTCTGGTATTGTGTCCCAACCTCTACCCTCGTACACTCTGCCGTCTGCACCAATCATGAAACTGACAACAAACCAACAGAAATTACTCATTTAGAAGTAGATTAAACTCCCAAAGCACCAAATATGACACTGAATAGCAGAATGGTAGAGAGATTAGTTATCTGGAAGTTAGATAAATGTCTTTGTTCTTCCATTTGCAATGTTCTTGAAATTTTAAGAATATCGGGGGGGGGTTTGAACCGGGACACTTTAGATGTAAACATAAACGCTCCATTATTAATTAGCGCAACAGCTATTTCCGTTTGCCGGGACAGAGTTATTGCCACTTTTGTCTCGCCGCAGCCTTGTATTAGGTCAATTTTAAACATCCACCTTCTTAGGACTTGTTTGTTGGACTTTTCCTTTTATATGGTATTTGTTTTCCTACAACACTTTATACTTACTTGTGTGTGATATCAGGGTAGCCACAGCCCATGTAATTCTCTTGACACCTCTGGAGCAATGCTTTACATTCCGTCAGGTTGTAGCAAGGTTCGGAAGCAGTGCAATTGAAGTTGACCCTAACAGCTGGTCCTTTCATGGGAGTCAGCTGATCAAACTCTGGATTACATTCCGGCTCGACAGCCTCCCACTCCTTTCTGGATATTATAACCAAGTCCTTCGGAGGGTCTTCCTCGGCAAACCATTTCTTCTTGGGGAAGAGGACTCTTTTTGGTAGACTGTCGGCTGGAACATAATTTAAACTGGGGATTTGAAAAGTCAAATTGTGGAAAAGACATAAATTATATTAGCTCTAAAACTGGTAATATAATTTTCCCATGTTACAGGGAAAGACTGGTAAACCATCCAAAGTAGCTTTCGGAGAGTGTTTGATGTTATGACGGACTATACTAGACTAATAAATCGTTTTAAATTGTGTTTAAATTACAAATTTCATTCTATTATCACACTGTCTATTGCCAGCAACATTTTTTGTCATTAAAAAGTAAATATAATAGGTACAGTATTCTGATATTCTTAATTTCAAACCAAACAAACTACACAGTCATCAATTTTTTGGGGGGTTAAATATTTTTGACCATAATAATAATACATATTATACAATTGATAGGTAGTGCTCTTTAAGACGAGTCTCCCAAAAACCAATTTTCAACTATCACCAAATTAAAAGTGCCCAGTAAATTGGAAATATAAACATAAAAAATCACAAATAGGCTTTATAAACTTTAATATAATAAACTTTATATTTTTTTTAGTTTTAATTTCTGAAGTTTGAATAGAAAATCTAAAGCAATTTTGTGCACACATAGATGTGTGTTTGAATGTATTGTTTTAATGTGGTGGTAAGAAAAAAAGAATGATTTGGAATGAAGTTTGCATGTCATGTAGCATATTACATATATATAGATAGACGGACCTGAAATCGCTAAAAGCAAAACCGCTTACCACTATGCACAGGCACTTCCATCTAATAAAAATTGTTAAGTTTTCTTCAATCCATTCATTAAAACCCATTAATATAAAACATTCTAAGCCTACAGACTTATCAGTTACCACTAACTTTTTTCTGCTGTACTATTTAGTTTCAAATAATCTTTTAAGATAACATTTCAAGATAAAAGAAGGGTCATGTATGATATAGAGTACAAATTATTACAGTAGGAAAGTGTATACATTTTCTTGGTAGAGTGGTTTTTATGGAGTTGCAGATATTAAAATTATGTTGAAAAAAATAAATCAAAGTTGGTTTATGGATTTCTGGGATTTAAATTGACAAACGAGGATTAGGTGTGTGTGTAATAAATTACATACTATTTATTTAAAACCCACCCTGTATATTGAAGTATTTAGTAGTAGGTAAGTTTATTAGTTTATTATGCTGCTCACAATTACCTTAGTCTATACTTTTGATTATGTTTTCTCCCTCATAAATTTTTAATTGAAAACTGACTCTCTATCTCAATTAATGAGAAGTTAAGTAGAAAGATTTGTAATGAGACCTATGTTTTATTCTTTGCTCAAGGTTAGGTTACAACATTAGTTTATTGAAATTTTAGCCTGAAAAGTAAATCTACAAATTTGTTGACTAAATAATAGTTTTTGTGAGGGATCTAGTTGTATTTCGATAGAGTTAAAGAGTTACAAAGCAATGCAAACACACTCGACATTTAAAACCACAACGTTTATCTCCTGTAGGTTTTTAATTAAATATCTGTATTAAAATTAAATTTAATGCTTTAACATGACAATTAGCATGAAACAATTTTGTATTCTTTTATAAGAAATTCCCTCAATCTGGAACAACTTATATGTTTTAACCATAATTAGAATTCTTAACGACAAGCAATGTACAAACCGAACCCCTACAAAAGGAGATAAAGATATATTTTATTCATATTAGCAGCTAGAGCTAGCTTCGCAGCTTCAGAATCTGTGACATATTTGATATAGTATCAAGCACAAAATCTAACGTCAAGTCATTTTCTTCTATACATTTTATACATATAACATTACAATATTTAACTTGAATTAACTAAAAACATCACCAACTGTTATGATAACCCAATTTTCATATGGATGGATGTAAAAAAAATTGTATCATGGCCATCTATTTCATGTAAACAAATGTAAACTTGAAAAATTTCAGATGGTTGACAACGGACTTCAGCACAAACTTTGAAATTTAAAAACCTAATGGACGAAGGGTTTTTACAGGATATAATCCAAACCTGCAAAAAGCAGATAGAGGATGGAACCTTTAAATTGATACCCAATATGCATATAAAAATAAATATTAAGGGTCAACTTGCTGAATACAAAAATTCAACACATTCTTTTAATACTAAAGATAATTATTTCATTACTTTAGATACCTACAATATCAAGACGTTAACATCTACCTCCAAAACTCGAAACTAAATTGTAGCTAATCTAAACATAGTTTAGTCCATAACTATTCTTCTTGAAAAAAATTGTTTGTGTAAGTGGAAGATATAAAATGATATACTTGTTCAAATATGATTTCTGAAAATGCAGAACATCCAACATTAGAAACATAATTGTTTATCCATACAACATATTTACAAACATAATTTAAGCTACTTCCATCACTCTTCAAAAATCTTTTAGACTCAACAATTTTTACATCGATACAAATAGCACAGCAATTCGTGAATATTATGGGTACCATTATGTGAATGCTATATTACCATCATTCCCATCAAGACAGAAGCCACTGCAGGATAAAACAACCTTTATTTTCATCAACTTCAGTGATCCACATGCAGTTTCATGGCCCATTCACACCTACATAAGACTTCATTTCTCGGTTTACGTTTTATTACCTGGAGTGAACGAGTGAACCACATTTGTGTTTGAACTAAAGAAAACTCACCTCTTCAGCGTTCTTTAGTGTTTTACCACAAATTTGAATTATCGGGTTTATGAGTGAGTGTTGAAAAACAATAAGGGATGTGATTGAAAAAGTATTTAGAAATATTTAATGTGACTTTTCAAAATTTTACAGTATTTTAATTTATGGGTTAGGAATTTTTTTTAGTGCAATAATAGAAATAATTTTGATTTGACGATTTTTCAAAAGTTATATATTTAAAAGAGAAAAACACATTTAACACTTGTAATCATTTGGCACTATTGGGGAGCAAGCTCGTTTAGTGGTTAAAGCGCAGGGCTTCTGAGCCCAATGGGTTCAAAACCTACCAATCACCAATGGATTTCATCCATTTGAAAATGCCGTGAACCTCCAGGACTAGCCTGAAAAAATGTGCTATAAAATTCCGGGTTAAACCTAGCGCCCTTAAATATGCAATTATTACATAATACAATGCTTTAATACTCACAGGTTTTAAATTTAATCCTGTAAGTTTTACTATATCCTATTGTTCAACCTTTGGAATGGAATTGGTTCTAAATCCTGTTAAAACAGGGAATACACATTTGAATAGTTGTAACTTGTGACACAGCCAATGAACAGCCTAGAATGACTGCTAAGAAATATATAGTTTCACTAAAATCAACTATTTTCTAGGTAAAGTGGTTACATATGTCCTTTGAATCTGAAGTCTAAATTTCTGGACCCAGAACCTATGTGCCATTGGGCTACCAATTAATAATGGTATCCAAAAGATTGTATTGTAATAAAACCAGTGCTCTTACCTTACTCTATACGAAACAAAAATGCCCTCTACCTACAGACAAAAAACAAAAAAAAAAAAAAATGGATGTGAAGAGGACAACAATTTAATTTGTTTTCTTTTAAATTAATTGTTACAAAATAATGTGATTAGAGATACACTAGATCTGTGGGTAGAGAGAGACTTACGTAGATTGAGGTCCTGTGACCATGGACAGACACCTCGACTCTGGGGAAACGCTCAGAATGTAATTTTCTCCGTACGAGCCCCGAGAGCCGCCCATGTAAATTATGTCCTTCTTTACCTGATGATTCCACATCCTAACTGAGCTCAACAGTATCCTTAAAGTAAAAATAAGTTGAGCTGAGTTTATAACATGTTTTTTTAGTTTGCGAGTTTTACCAATAATCAGAATCTGAATTGTTTGGAAGAAGACAAACAAGTCTACAATTGTATTTTTTTATTCTTAGACCGAGAAAAAATTTTGACTTGGATAACAAGGTGGAGGTTATTGAAGGACACTAATACAGTACAGTGTACTCATACATGAACAATCAAATTTTTGTGGGGGTCGTTTTTTTTAAACACACAAACCTATTACTGCTGAATAGGTTATTTTTCTAAATTATCCAATTATGTACGAGTTTGGGCTCAGTAAACTTGAACATTTTATTTCATCCTCTTTGTTTTATTTAAAACTAACTCTCTTCTCAGCAACACGTGTTTGTTGTCATATTACATTTTTCCTTATTATTATATTGTTAACACATGTTGCATTCAAAGTGTAAAAGTCCTCTTGTAAACCTAATGAGTGTGTTCATTTTCTCTCTCTCATATTCATTAATCCCAATATCTCCATTTCTCTACATATTGCCCCTCTGGTCCTTCGAACTAATTCTCATTAAATCCTTTCTCATTTCTATTCCCCTTTCTCGATCATTCCCTATAATTTAATATCATTCTTTCTACAAAACACTCAAGTATATCCAATAAAAAACGAGAAAATGTTTACATACATACATTTTTTATCGTTAAGAAAACAAGATCCACTGAACGTTGCCAGGTTGTATATTTCAACCAACTTCTTGGATGCAGAAGTCTACTAAAGCTTCTAAATGGATCAGTAGTTGCAATTTTTTTTTGTTTTAAAAAGAACATAAAATGAGCCAGTCACAGTTTGCGTTAGTGTCTATATTTTCTATCTTATTTTACTGAAATATTTGATGTGGCTTAACAGATTTTGAAGCATACCGTAGTGTGTCTTAAAGTAAGACGTGCAATCAGTTTGTCTTGCTGAACAAGTCCGGTTATTCTACAGAAATAAGTAATTTTACATATTAAGAGCTGTTGGTGGCTAAAATTAAACTACAGTGCGCCCATTAAAAAATCACAAAAAAACACATAACTGGTGACAACTTTAAAATGTCTAGTTCAATCAATAGTAAAAGGTAATACATAATTTAAAAACTGCAAACAGTAAATTGTAAATAAATTTAAGTTTAACCATCAAGAAACCCAACAAAGAAAAGGGGTTCTCAGGTTTGGAGTACTCTGTGTGGAATAATTTCCACCGCTAAAAACATCCAACACAAATAACTATTGTAAAAAGTAATTGATAACCAAATTAATTAAAAAAACTAATTTATTGTACCTCATATATCTTTCCGGCCTAATTTTTAATCAACGAAATACAGTATAAAATATTACCTCCTCAACAGTACATGAATCCAACCAAAAAGTAAACTTAAAGAACTAATGTTGAATAACATCAACTAAACAAAATTTCCCTCCTAAAAACAGGGTGAAATAATGGCGGGAAAGGCGGGAGCGCGGATATATACAAGGCTCAGGTGGCGAATAGTCTGACATCTCGGCCGCCACTTTATATTTCGCTGTCCTACAAACAAAATAGTCCAAGAATTTATTTGCAGACTGGGATTCTTTGTTATCTGCGCCCGACACTCGCCTTGGATCTGGGGATTGTACATCACTTATTGTTCCGCCACTGCTACCAACCCCACTGCTTGCCAGAATTAATGTTGGCAGCACTGGCGGTGCATTGTTTGGTGGTAGTTTTCTGTATTCGTCTTGATTCCAGGAAAATTTGTGCCATGGTTGAAAAATACATTATCATATAAAAAATAGTTTACAATATTTTTTAAATAAAGTAAAATGAAGTAAATTAAACATGAATTTCCAATGGAACATATAGTCTTTAGTGAAAAAATCAAGAGGATATAATTTTAAGTAGGTTATATGGTTGAACAAAATATATGGTTGGCGGTTCAAAGAAATAAACTTGAGGAAATAAACTTAGCCTACATTGACTAAATATCTGTGCACAGTTGCTATTAAATCATGGAATAGATTATAAAAATATTTA